AAATTCTAATTAAGTGGTAAAATAAAATATTTTGTTAAAATTTAATGAAATTTTAATATATTTTCAATTGTTTTTTTTTTATTTGCAATTTGGGTATTACTTATGTTTTGGTGTAGAAATTAGGTATTTAAAAATGAATTTAGTGAAATGCTTTATAGTTTTTTTATTTTTTTTTAAACATTTGTTGATGTTAAAGCAAAGTTGTTAACAGTTTTTATTTCAAATTGGTGATTTTTCTATCTGGTGAAAGCTTGATTGTGTTGGTTGTAACTTGAATTAAATTCTTGTAGAGTGAAAATAAATTATTTCTTTTTCTATAAAACCTTGTTTATGTTTTAACTTTTAAAGGTGTTCGATCTCTGCATTAGCCGAGAATGTTCATCCAGATTTTCTGGCCGGCCTCTTTCCCCCTTGGCAGTGGAGCAGGACAGGGGGCCTGGGAAAAATCGAGGTCCCGTGTACACATTGGTGTGTATTTAATAAGAACCGTTGGCAATTTGTATTCGATATAAATATTAGAGTAGGCCGCTGTTCAGACAAAATTCCTGTATGGCGTATGCCCGGTTGGATCAGAATAGTAGGACATTAAACCCCATTTCATTTTTATGTGGACGTATATTGTTGTCGCCCCTGTCCGTCCACAATTTGTAGACAGGTTTCCAATTTTGACGAAACTTAAAATATAGTTTTATCTCCCACAGATCTCGGTTCCTTTTGATATTGGCATGTTTCGGACAATAAATTCATGGATTATGGCCTCTGATTGTACGAAAAATCACGTTTTTAGCTTGTGGACACTCTAGAGGTCACAATTTGTATCCATGAACACAAATAATGTTCAAGTATGCAATATCAAGGTTTTGGACCCTATAGAGGTCACAATTTTGAACCGATTTTGATGAAACTTAACACCTGTTTATATCACAAAGATCTCTGTCCCTTTTGATATTTGTGCATATCAGACTGTAACTTCTTGGATTATGGCCCCTGATTGTACGAAAAAAAATCGCGATATTAGCTTATGGAGCCTCTAGAGGTCACAATTTTTATCCAATTTTAAAAATTGTTTAAATATATCATCATTGTGCCCTGATGATGGATATTTGTGCTCATCAGATCATAGTACATTATAGTCGTTGATTGTACAAAAAATCACATAGCTTGTGGGCCCTCTAGAGGTCACAATTTTTATCCGATATATCACCATTGCAGCGTAATGAAGGTTGAGTTCGAATTTCAGGAAAATAAATCAAAATTGTCCTACGAAATTGCAGCTCCCTGTACGCAAATAGTGTAAAAGTATGTAATACGAATTTTATGAACCCTCTAGAGGTTGAAACTTAAAATATATGTTTATATCCAAAAGGTCATTCCTTTCGATATTCGCCCATTTCAGACCATGACTTACTGGATTATGGCCCCTGACTGTACTAAAAATCACTTTGCTTTTTTTTTAGCTTGTTCTCTATCCATCTCTTGCAAAATATGGCATATCCTGCATAACTTTTAAAGATGCATTATGTAACATTATGTAAGAGCTAAATCTGCCATTTTTATACGCCCACATTTAAATGTGGTCGTATATTGTGGTCAGTCTGGCGTCCACAAGCAAAGTTAATATCCGATTGACTTTAAATTTATACACAGTGTTTAAGGTCTTGAGACGAAGTAGCCTATTGATTTTCAGCAATTTCCGATAATTACTGCCAGAGTTATGGCCCTTGATCAATTCAAAAAATCAATAGGCTTCTTCGTCCCATGACCTTAAACACTTTGTATAAGTTTAAAGTTATGGCCCTTGATCACTTCAAAAAATCTTGTGGACGCTCTAGAGGCCAAAGTTAATATGCGATTGATCTTAAATTTATACACAGTGTTTGAGGTCATGAGAAGCCTATTGATTTTCAGCGATTACCGATAATTACTGCCAGAGTTATGGTCCTTGATCAATTCAAAAAATCAATAGGCTTCTTCGTCTCATGACCTTAAACACTTTGTATAAATTTAAAGTTAATCGGATATTTACTTTAGCCTCTAGAGCGTCCACAAGCAATTGTGGACGCCGGACCGACGGGATCAAACTGGTTAATTACATTCATAATAGACTGGATCAGACTTCACCTTACACGACCCTCCCTGTTGGCCACGATCAAAACATGACATTCAGACATCCCTGTGACAACTTTGTGGCCACCAAAACACAATATTCAGCCATTCCCATGTCATGTAGCCACCATGGCATGATTACTAAATTTGTACCCGGCAGTCACAGATCCCGCCCTACATTAGCAAAACAAGTATCTGCATCACAGCTGTGTTGAGGGCGTATCTACAGGAGATATTGGATTTGGTTTTAAATGACAAATTCTAATATTTCATATAATATTTTATTATTTTGAGTATATTAAAATAAAACATACTGTACAATAATATAATAATAGCTAGTAATGTATATAATAATAAGCACTGATCATATTTACACTTTTATATACATATTTACTATATAAAACAACAATATTTAATGGTAGTATATACACTGTATTTAATGGGAGTATATACACTGTATTGCATGAAACAAATGTACCATAGATAATATACTGGTACATATGAATTGAACATTAAACTGAAAAATATCTAAAATCTTTAATATGAATTACACTATATAAAACATTAAAGATACATTATGTAAGATTTTGATAAAGAATTGACCTTTCTTGCTATAATAGCTCAAAAATAGATAATGTAAAATGAAAATTTCATTCAAATTATGTCATTGTGAGCAAAGTTATCACTGTTGGTAGTTTTGACAAGATGTGTGCATTGTGGTAACCAGGGCACTGGTATATTCGAGTCTTAGCCTCACTTTCCCATTTTTAAAATAAATTTTTAAGTGGCAAACCATTCTAATCTAGTTAAAATCTTGAGTATCCGATGCCATCGAGAGTTGATTATGGTCTTGTTTTGTTAATAAATGTCTAATGAATAGTTTATATAACATTTCAGGCCTAAAGAAAGACCAGCAAAAGGCAGATTTAGCTCTTGCATAATGTATGTTTAATATAATTGTTTTGTACATACTGGTATCTAAATTCAATATTAACAGAAACATACATGTAAATTATTTTATATATTTTTTCTGCATATACACCAGTATTTAAATACAGAAAAATATATACTGTAATAAATTTAGATACCAGTATATATATATATATATATATATATATATATATATATATATATATATAATTGTGAAATATAAAATATATAAATATAGCCTACTTGATTCTCAATATATCATTATTAATAAATGCATATTTAACATGAAAAAGTAGAAATATATAAGGTATTAAAGCATTTAAATAAATATTGTAAATAAATTGAGTAAAATGTTCACTACTCCTAATCAATGTTCTCAATACCGGCCCTGAGCACACAAATCATTATTTGTCATTGACAGTTTCATTTCTCACGCCTGCACACATCAAGCATCATTTGTCACTGACAGTCTGTTTTTTCGGCCTGAGCACACCAATTTGTCTCAGTCTGATATCTTGTTGCTAACCAGCAATATTTCTCAGATTTCTTGTTGCTAACCAGCAATATTTCTCAGATTTCTTGTTGCTAACCAGCAATATTTCTCAGATTTCTTGTTGCTAACCAGCAATATTTCTCAGATTTCTTGTTGCATAAGAAGAAATATTTTGTGTTGACAGCCAGAATTTCATCATTGACGACAATCTGTCAAGCAAAGCACATTCTAATTTCCTATCCTTGATTTCTGCTCTCCATTTAGACAAATACTTCTGGTTGTGTACAATCCTTTATGCACCGAATAAATACAAAACAAGTACATCACCAAATAATTTATAAAAGCATTGTAAAAAAAAATTAGTAAAATTAAAAATTAAAAAAAACCTCCACATCACAACCACAGGAGGTGGAAATGTTTTGAATAAAGTAACTGATTCTGTCTCCATATATAATTCAAAAATCCAATATGGTGGCCATCAATCCAGTAAAAGAAGAGTTTCACTTCAAAATTTTGACACCATGTTAATTTTGATCTATTATTTAAAATAGTCCCAATTTTATATATAGTTTTTAATATTTTCTCACATAAATACAATAAATTTATTGTTTTAATTGTGGTTGGGGGTTACTTATAATAATTAAAATTGTAATTATATGGCATTTAAATTGAATGACAAGTAAATTTTCTCTTTCAGCCAGTCATAGTTGATGGCTGAGTTGAGACTCCTGCTTCATAGTTCATATTATATATAAAAGAGAAAGCTCCTTTAAGGCACAAATAATCATGGAATAAATAATTCATTATGCTGTTCATTTTAAATAAATCTTACAATAAATATATTACAGAGTTAAGGCACCTTTTGTTACCATAGTTACAAACAGGCCTTTATTTAAGTGAAAGCGGACATTTTAAAAAAAAATATGATTTCAAAATAGAGATAGGTTACTGATCCATCATGGAGCAAACTGTTGAAATATTTATTTTAATAAAACTGTTTTCACTACTTTAAATTCAGCAAATAATTTAAAGTAAATAATGTTTAAAATAAAACTGAGCATTAATATAATGGAATCAAATTATCTACGAATGGACATACACATCAACATACACATCAACATACACATCAACGTACACATCAACATACACATCAACATACACATCAACATACACATCAACGTACACATCAACATACACATCAACATCAACATACACATCAACATACACATCAACATACACATCAACGTACACATCAACATACACATCAACATACACATCAACGTACACATCAACATACACATCAACATACACATCAACGTACACATCAACATACACATACACATCAACATACACATCAACATACACATCAACATACACATCAACGTACACATCAACATACACATCAACATACACATCAACGTACACATCAACATACACATCAACATACACATCAACATACACATCAACGTACACATCAACATACACATCAACATACACATCAACATCAACATACACATCAACATCAACATACACATCAACATACACATCAACATACACATCAACGTCAAGCTAAGTAGTAATGTAAATTGAGCAAACAAGAACATGATATGATTTACTTTTAAATAAACTGTCTGGATTAGTCCTAACTATTACAAACAATCAACCTACAACAAAATACTTTCATTATTGTTTTGAAACGATAAGAGATAACGATAAGAGAATACTTATCGAAACGTTGTGCTTGTGTATAATAAACCAGTAATTGTTGTCCCATATAACTGTGTCAGTTTTCTTTATCTGAAATTAGTGATTCTGCTATGCAATGTTGAGTAAGATGTCTAAACTACAACTGAAGCACAAGTTCCTGCTTGTACCCTCCATGTAATACATAGAATTTATATTTTAATTATGTGTTCTACATTTTAGATCAACAGCAAAGCAATACCCACAAAATGTTTAAAACTTCATCATTACAAAATTCACAACTTGATGTGGGATATGAAATATTTTTAGAATGAAAGCAAGTCCATATTTTACTACATAACTTCCTCTGTAAATAGGGTTGCATGTGCAGAATGTTTGACAAACAGAAATATTAAGTTTAGGCCTTAAAATACTTGTCCGAATCTTTGAAAACAGTAATGTAATACTCAACTCCAAATAGACTTACTCTAGACTAGATCACACATATTACGGTATAGAAATCTTTCATGTCAACAATCATACATTTTGGCTGGTTTTCGGGATGCAGGACTTGGAAGAATTTCGCGAGATGGGTGGTCACCCTATGTGTAAAGTTTATGTCCACAACAGGGAGTAGGATACACACTTCTTGAGGAAACAGATTTATGCTTCCCTTAAAAACTTTTCTGCTTCTTCATCAGTCACCACACAAATTCTACACATTATAAAGAATTACATTTATAATGATATCGGAATATAAAGATCTGAACATTTATAATGATATCGGAATATAAAGATCTGAACATTTATAATGATATCGGAATATAAAGATCTGAACATTTATAATGATATCGGAATATAAAGATCTGAACATTTATAATGATATCGGAATATAAAGACGTGACAGACATATCACAACCTGTACAGACGTGACAGACGTATCACAACCTGTACAGACGTGACAGATGCATGTAAATGATGAAGGTATCACAGACTGAGTGAATGTGTCTGGTGAGAAACATTGAACATTATCCACGATATCATAGTACGAAACATTTGGCATTCTAACCTGGAAGCGTGAATAGATTTAATTCTATTTGAAATAGATTTTAACACAGTCTGCAGTTTGTTATAAAATCGTGTCCAGAAACCGTGTGTGTGACGTTATTATTGATTGAACACATAAGACTTATCAGACATCAGGTGTTCATTTCAAACTTTGGCCGATCCTGGGTCCGGCATTCTTCGTCCGTTATATATTTGGTAATTAGGGTCGCGATATGAACGAGATGGTTCGTTATAATATGTATGTTTCATTTGACTTGGTGAATCACTACGATACTGAATACGTTTTCCCCCGGACTCGTGGGCCGGTTGACAGTAGTATTGTTCCATGTAACCTGTTCGTTGATGGGAGGGATGTTGGGAAGGATTGTGCTGTTGTTGCTGCCCTCTATTGGTAATACTGGAATGAGAATATTCACTTTCATCACTCAAACTAGGGTGAGGGCTATAATTAGTAACACTGGTCATAACAGGATTATTGCTGGGTCTGGAAAAAAAATCAAATGGATGCTTTAAAAATGTTCTGTTAATATTCATGAATATGGACTGGTTTGAGACATATTCAACAAGGATGAATTTAACGAGAGGATGAAATCAACAAATCTGTGTTTATTTAGGAGCAAAAAATCATGTTGATTGTCAATGTTCGAGAAAATAGTAGTCTCTGACATCCAGAATCTACGAAAATTAGTCAGGATGGGTTGTCTAAGGGAGGAAATTATCTTCATGGGTCATATCTATGGCTTTTTTATTAATTCGTCGTCACCATTCATGTTTGTTCATAATAATGCAGGAATTATGCGATTTATTTCGGAAAGGGATGCAACTCTTACTTGACTTGACCAAATATACTTGATAATCAAGCACATAAAAAAACAATTTCCCAGTTATGCATGGGTAATGAAACTTTTTGTCAAATGTTGACAACAGACCCTCCGTACGTTGAAGTTCTGGGTGACCGAGACTACAACAGACTCAGACCCTCCGTATACATGGAAGACTAGAAAGTTCTGTGTGACCGAGACTAATTCCTTAGTGGATAAAGTATTTTTTTAAAGAAATGTACAACTTCTTACGTAATTAAATCTTTGTCACCGTTCAAAAAGACATAAATAATTTCTTACCGTTCAATAGGTTGACCTCGACTAACAGGTCGGGCATAAATCCCCTTACTATCACTTCCCGATCTATCTCTGTTATATCTCTGAAAAATCCACCAACACTAAAATATATTACTGATACATGGAAAACCCACAAATATCAACAGCTTGTCCCAGAAGATAACTTGTAAAGATAACTCACCCTGTGTTCCTCTTCTAGAAGTTTTCTCTCGTAATATTCCTCCGCCTCCTCCATGGGATAATGTCCATGTCTTTCTTGATGTCGCCGCCGATGTTCGGCACGTAATTGCTGAATTTTTTCTGTTTTTGTAGCTGGGCGTGGTAAAGAGTTAAACTGTGTTTGTGAATTAACAGAGTTTGAACCATATATATCCCGTTTACCACCACCATATAAGTCAGTTTGCCTAGCATCATACAAGTCCGGTTGCTTAGCACCATACAAGTCTGGTTGCCTAGCACCATACAAGTCCTGGGTATTACCACTGTTCATATTTTGTTTGACACCATATATACTTTGCTTAGTTCCATAGATTCCCTCATTTTTATTGCCATATATGTCCTGCCCATTGTTGAAGGGATTCTGTCTGTTACCATAGGGATCAGATTTGTTTCCATGGATATCCTGTTTGTTTCCATAGGGATCTTGTCTGTTGCTATATGGTTCTTGTTTATGACCATAGGGATCTTTGTTGCTATATGGATCTTGCTTATTACTATAGGGATTCTGTTTGTTGCTATAGGGATCTTGCTTGTTACTATAGGGATTCTGTTTGTTGCTATTAGGGTCTTGTTTGTTGCTATAGGGATCTTGCTTGTTACCATAGGTATCTGACTTGTTACCATAGGTATCTGACTTGTTGCCCTGGAGATCCTGTTGTTGTCTCGTCCGATGATTGTCTATCAATATTTGTTGTTGTTGACGCCTCAGCTCTTGTTGTCTACAATAATAATTATTAATTAATCCTGGTCTGGGGAATCAAACCCACGCAAGTTGACTCAATGACAGACACACGTCATGTGCTAACCATTTGGCCATCCACGTCTCAAGAACTGTTTCCACTTGTCAGGGGTATGCTACCAACATGCCTGACCAGGAAAGCGTGTCTTGTGGTAAAAATTTAAAGTCAAAAGTAGAAACTAACAGAGAACCTAAAAGATCATAAACACCACCATCTTAAATATTTTTATACGCACACATTTTCATGTGAAACTTCCAATCAGTAGAAACAGGAAACACAAACCAAATACAGACGGTTTGATGGGATCAATTTTGACTGAGTCAAAATGATGCATTTGATATTCAGATAAGTTGATATTAAATAATTAATAGAATACAATTTCAAAAAACCATCGTTTTATCCAACGTTTCGTCTCGTCAGTAAAAATACTAACTTCTTCAGGGATGAAAAATTCTAACTTCTCCAGGGATGAAGAAGTTAGTATTTTTACTGACGAAACGTTGGATAAAATGGCTGCCGTTTGTTCTCAAATAGCGTAACCTAACCCTATCAAGGTTGTGGACCCTATAGAGGTCACAATTTTTATCAGATTTTGTTGAAACTTGAAAATGTAAGTTTATAACCCAAAGATCTTGGTTCCTTTCGATATTTGCGCATATCGGAGCGTAACTTCCTGAATTATGGCCCCTGATTGTAAGAAAAATCGTGTTTTTAGCTTGTGGACCCTATAGAGATCCTAATTTTTATCTGATTTAAAAAAACGTATTATTATATCACCGTTACACCCTAAGGAAGGCTGAGTACGAATTTCGTGAAAATCGGCCCAAAATTGACAGACAAAATGGCCGCCGTTCGTTCTCAAATAGCGTAAAAATATGGTATATCAAGGTTGTGGACCCTATTAGGTCACAATTTTTATCCGATTTTGTTGAAACTTGAAATGTAAGTTTATAACCCAAAGATCTCAGTTCCTTTTGATATTTGCGCATATCGGACCGTAACTTCCTGAATTATGGCCCCTGATTGTACGAAAAATCGCGGACCCTATAGAGGTCATAATTTTTATCCGATTTAAAAAACGTATTATTATATCACCGTTACACCCTAAGGACGGCTGAGTCCAAAATTCGTGAAAATCAGCCCAAAACTGACAGACAAAATGGCCGCCCTTCGTTTTCAAATAGCGTAAAAATATGGTATATCAAGGCTGTGGACCTTATAGAGGTCACAATTTTAATTCGATTTTGTTGAAACTTGAAATGTAAGTTTATAACACAAAGATCTCGATTCCTTTCAATATTTGCGCATATCGAATTGTAATTTCCTGAATTATGGCCCTTGAGTGTAGGAAAAATCACTTTCTTTTTAGCTTGTTCTCTATCCATCTCTCGAAAATGTGGGCGTATCCTGCCTGGCAGCCGCTGGCTTTCTCTTTTAGGTGAAAGATTTTTCAAATTTTTAACCATAAACTTGAAATGCGTCAGACATGTACCTTTGTTTTTCATTTTGAGCTATCTGCCAAGCTTGTTCTCTTTGAAATTGATGAAGGTCAACTTCTTCAGTTAATGGTCGTTCTGCTGACCTTGACCTTAACCGTGCTTCTTCATTTGATTTTCTTCCTTTCCCCAATCTACAAAATATAAACATCCTATAAATAAAAGAGTTTCCTTCATCTGGATGGGCTTCAATGTCTTGTCCACTTGACACAAACTAGCTCATTTCTGGACTAACATATGGTTCAATTTTTATTTCAATAATTGGCTTGCGCGTAGGGGTCTTTAGCAGTGGGAGGAAACCTAATGACCTAGTTCTAGTCATGTACAAGTTATTGGTCTCGCTAGTCATGGGTTCTTTACCTAGATGCCAGTTAATCCAACAAGGGCCATAACTCTAGAGAGCCTTCTTAATCACACTACTGTAGATAACATACATAAATCATTTGATAAATATGATGGACGGGGGAGACGACAATATATGACTACATATGTGGGCGTATAAAAACAAAGAGGAATTTTCAACTGTTCTGGCCCGACTGGGCTATTGAAGATCGGACAGCGGCACTTTGGCTTACTCTTATATTGAATTCCAACTGCTAAGGTTTCTTTTACATGCATGACCATGTGTACATGACTTCCATGATAAACAAACAGGAAATATTTCTCATCGTGAAGAATAAAACTCACCTGAGAAAACCTTTAAATATTCCACCTGGTTTTTTATCCTTCACATTTTTCTTCTTCAATCTTAACCCATGTTCGTCTGTAGTGTTCTCGCTACTTAATGACGATCTCGCAGAGTTGCCCGAGTGACCATGACTAAACGCGTCACTTTCAAAACTCTCCTCGTCCACTACAAGCAGAACATGAAATTTATTTGAAAAAGTGTGGAACAAAAGATTCTCTAGTTGTTTTGAAATTGGAGGCAAAATAAAATCACAAGCAAATTCCTTGACAGAAAGCATTTACCCGAATCCATTAATATTAATAAAGTAATCACGAAACATCAAATTCTACAATCAAACTGGAACTGACTGATTATATTTCCTAATTTCTTGGAATGAAATAAATTAAATCGACTTTCATTTCAACTTTTCTTTGGTCAAACATCAGGGGATTTAGAAATCTTGATCTAAATATTAACCATTACACTCCAGTTTGATATCCTAGTAACTAAATAAATAAAAATTCCCAATAAAGTTAATTGAATCATCATACAATATATTGAACAAAACTCAAGTATAACCAAAAGAAAACTAACTACATTCCATACTTGATGAACAAGTGACAAACAATTATTATAGAATCTAAATAGAATGAGTTAATATAATAAAGTTAATGTTAATCAGTTAATTATATTACATGATAATATAACCTTATTTATGCCACACCAAGAATGGCTTAAGAAGATTAAAAGATAATATACATCATGATACTGACATCCATTTATTATATACCATAAATGAGTTAACTTAACACTGAAATTCTTTATGATGAGTATGTTAATCAGATGCAATTATTATATACCAAAAATGAGTTAAATATTATACCATGTATGAGTTAAATATTATACCATGTTTGAGTTAAATATTATACCATGTATGAGTTAAATATTATATACTGCAAATGAGTTAAATATTATATACTACAATGAGTTAAATATTATATACTATAATTAAAGAGTAAGAGTATATACCATGAATTAGTTAAATATAATATACCATGAATGAGTTAAATATAATATACCATGAATGAATTAAATATAATATACCATGAATGAGTTAAATATAATATACCATGAATGAATTAAATATAATATACCATGAATGAGTTTAAGTGATTATATGGATGATATCTATTCTATTATTAGTCTTACATGTATCCATGGATGGATTCTGTTGATTAAATTGACTGTCATAAGATCTGTCGACCGCCGCTCGGAAACTCTCGTTACAAGCCCGGGGACGGTTGATCATATGACCTACCATCGACCCTGCTCCTGACCCCGACCCCTGGTCATCCATAATGGGGTCAGGTTGTGAGAGATCCTCTAATGACGTCGAACGTTTAAGATTTGACGTGGGAAGGTTACCTGGTATATTAGATGTGTTACTGATTGATCGAGCGTGTCCTGAAATATAAATACAATCAGGGAATGTCATATACAATATATCTGAATAATTTTGTAGATATTTATAACAGCAATGATCTAACATAACTTAACATGATTTAACCTGATTTAAATTCTCAAAGAAAATTGCAATTCTTACTGGAGCAATCATTCTAAAATCAATCACACATTTCTAACATGGCTTTTTGTCTAAAAAAATTATTTATAAAAGTTATCATGACAATAGAAAGACACCAAATGCACAAAATAAATGAAAACATTACAATACACCAAAAAATAAAACTTAAAATAAAAGACTTAGAGGGGATAATATGAGTTACATCTTTAAAACTCTTGTTTAATGTGAAAAGTACAACAATGTAATCAACCATTGACTGTATTAGGAGAGAGTATGGGCTTTACCCTTTTAGCAACCACTTGACACAAACTAGGTCATTTCATGAGTAACATATGTTTCAATTTTATTTCAATAATTCATATTTGGTTGACTCAATGACAGACCTTATGAGCTAAAGTCTAGTATTATAATAAGCAGTCAAGGGTGTGATGTTGTAATACCTTTAACAACTTGAAGAAAAGGGACTCACAAAACTATACAGAGGATATCCATTCCATCTATAAAATCATCATAATATAAAATAAAAAAAACTAAAACAAACAAATTACTTGATCTACTTATTTTCCTATTAAACAATCAATCTTGTGTTATTGTATACTGTTTTATATCATCCAATCATACAATAGGAATATCAACCAATCAGAAACGACAATAACACAACATTGATTACTTAAGGATTCTAATGACAATATCAATCCACCAAAAGCTGAAATGGGAGAAATGTTGAACAGTTGTGAAGACATGTAGCGTAAATGAATGACGACTTGAAAGTAATTAGGTAATGTGTACAAGAAGAAAGCTAGGAGATATGGTTTTATCAATATATAGTTTCATCACTCTCATTCTCTTAGAATCAAAGATAATGTGTTTCTAAGTTGCCTGTTTATCCTCACCAGTAGAATAGAACATGCTCATCACCGAACTAAGTGAAGGCATTCATTTAAAAAACATCTACAGACTTATTCTAATCCAAACTCTTTCCATCTGTCTCTGCTTTTTCCAAAAGAAGGGAGACAAGAAAAAGAAATCTTTGCCAGCACTACATATCTTCAAAAATTAAATGTAAGTAAATGGTTAGAGGGGAAGAGTTTTAATACTGTGACCAATAAGATTAAATAACCATAAGAAACATACTATTATCATCACTCCAGCGATAAAAATTATTTCTATCATACACCTCATAATCTATATATAAATCTAAGATGGAGTCGGCAGATCCGCCGTGACGTAATAATTTACATTTTGGTTTATTCCAGTCTTCTCGTCCAGCTGCTAAGCAGGAGGATAAATAATTAATAATTAGAAAAATAACATATATAATCAAGTTAAAAAAGATGATACAAGATTTAATGAAAATACAGAATGTTTAAGATGTTAAAAAACACATTTTTCATGCTAAAATTCATGCCATACACTCAAACTGGGAAAAAAAATTATCCAATTCATTTCAATCATTCTTCTATGTTAAACAGTCAATTAAATTTCAAATTCTTAAAAATTCATCACTAATTTTTACACTACAGGTAATCAATATATCTTCTAAAATCTTTATAAGAAATCTTCTAAAATCTTTATAAGAAATCTTCTAAAATCTTTATAAGAAATCTTCTAAAATCTTTATAAGAAATGATGCTGTCTTTTATGAACGTTCTGTGATGATTTTAAAGATATATTCCCTTACAAATAATTGGGTCATTGTCTAGCAGAAATCAAATTATAGACAGAAATTGTCAAACAGGTTAATTCTGACAGACTAATGAACCACTAAGTCTAGATGAAATTTCTTGGCCAACCTCCAGGTTTACAAGTCACCATGGCTCCCATTACAAAATTGTTGTGACCCAAAAAATTTGCAGATTGTCAAATAAGTTTCCCATGAAGCATCTCAAAATATAATATTTTTTTTGTAAGAAATATCATTAAAAATATTTTGATCAGCACAGAAAATAAAACAACTACATTCTTATATTTTGTTCATAACTCCACACATTAGTTTTCATTTTTAAGAAATTTGAAATTTTATACAAAAATTTTCACGATATTCAGCATTCATGTAATTTCATCCTGTAAGTATATTATGTACCTGTTGTATGAAAAGAAAAGATTCGTCTTAAAGTTCCTGTTACTGAAATAAAAACATTACAAGACTAAACCGTAGAATTACTGGGTACCGTTAATTCCTTCAACATCAATCTTCCAGACACTTTTATTCAAGTTTTAAAATACTAGCCACATCTATCCAGACACTTTCATTCAGGTTTTAAAATACTAGCCACAATTATCCAGAAGAAATTAAATGGAACTCCATAAATTGTCATCATATTTTTTGTAAAGAAGGCTTTTTTTAAAGTTTTTGAAAGAAATTTGCTTAATCCTGTTTCGCTGAATAAAATATAATTAAACCAAAGGTTATCAATCAATATAAAATAGACAAAGCACTTTCTTAGATACACAGTTATAGATGAACAGCTGATGACAAGAAGAGAAGATTCCTGTACAAATAGATTTCATGTAGATTTCAACTAGTCATGTAATTAATTAACTCCTTATCTATTTCTCACAGTTAATTAATTACAATGTACATGTGATAATAATACCATTAGATACTCCATGTCATATGTATATATATATACACTCACCAGTTCTTTGTTCCCGTCCAGATCGAACTCGCCAGAATTGTTCTGTATTTCTAGGATCATTATGTCCTTTACGTTTCTCCGACATACTCTGTCGTCCGAAACCTTCACGACTAAACCCTGCTGGATCACCTTCTGGACTTCTAGATAATAGAAATAATCAACAGAATGGGAATCAATGTGATCTTTCACTGGTTAATATATAGAAAGTAATGGGCCACTATCAACCTTTACAGGTTATTTACATGTGTGAGAGAGAGAGAGAAAGAGAGGGGGGGGGGGTAATCCTAGCACCCTAAACTCACATTAACCACATCATCCTCAAACCCACTGCATCCCCTGGCACACTAACCTCACACCCACAGCATCCCCCTGTTTTAACCTCACACCCACCCCATCCCTCTGGGACACCCTAACCTTACACCCACCCAATCCTCCTAGGACACCCTAACCTCACACCCACCCCATCCTCCTAGGACACTCTAACCTCACACTCACCCCATCCTCCTAGGACACCCTAACCTCTCACCCACTGCATCCCCCTGGAACACCCTAACCTCACACCCACTGCATCCCTCTGGGACACCCTAACCTCAAACCCACCCCATCCTCCTAGGACACCCTAACCTCATACTCACCCAATCCTCCAAGGACACCCTAACCTTTCACCCACTGCATCCCCCTGGAACACCCTAACCTCACACCCACTGCATCCCCCTGGAACACCCTAACCTCTCACCCACTGCATCCCCCTGGAACACCCTAACCTCACACCCACTGCATCCCCCTGGGACACCCTAACCTCACACCCACCGTATCCCCCTGTTTTAAGATCAAATAACTTACAGATCTGAATCATGTTGATTTCCAGCATCAAGAGAATTTGACTGACGATGTTTTGATCCAGACATTGATTGGTGAAGTTCTTCTGTACTAGACATAGAATCGTTATGTCCCGATTTTATCGGCATTCCTATCGTGGAATGAGGACGGGGACGCACTTGATTTTTCTGTAAAATAATTAGTGAAACTAGAAATTTGTCATTTTTAATGAAGAACTCTCTACTTTGTAACTTGATGTATATATCATAATAAAGAGTCTATTTGTAATCCACACCAATATAAGGGATGTTTATTCTAATTAGTGGGTGTTGCTTGTTAACCTGGAGGTCTTGCATTCGATCCCAGTATTGGCACAGTTCCATCGTCTCAGTGGTGCAGGATGGAGGGCCTTGTGTCTTTTGAGTGTACACATTGACTTGCACTAACAAGAACCATTAACTGTTGGAATTGTACATAAGAATAGACTGTAATGATGGTAAAAAACGTTCAAATATACCACAGTTACACCATTACGGCTCAGTTCAAATTCAAAGTTCAAATGGCTGCTCCCATTTTATGCAAATAATGTAAAAGCATATAATACCCAGAACGACCTTCAGATGTAAACTGTTGTCACGACTACAGTCTGAACCAGCACCTGAAGGCATATGGCCCAGACCATTGGCTATTCAATATGGCGGCGTCCTTGTCAGTTGCTTTGGCAGCTATATTTTCTGCTATTTACTCATTTTTAAAACTACATGTATATTTTGACAATGGGGATGAAGAAATACTTTTAAAACATTTTCTTACAACACTGAATCCATCCGTTTTAACTGATAACATAAATCATTTTACAAAGTTTTTTGTCGTGGGCCTATATATATATATATATACATATATATTCAAATGAGAAGATTTTAGTCTGTCAAATTCATCAAGAAAACTCGAATAAAAATCAGAGTTGTTAAGAGTGTATCCGCGAGAAGACCATGCAAAAATCGCAAAAAGTGCTAAGGTGGGGGGTCGGAAGTTTTTGATCAAACTTATGGTATGACACCCCCTAGGCGCAAGAGGTAACATGCTTAAGTGGTTACAGTCTGATGTCACTCTAAAGGACTGTACAGGAATTATTCATTTTATGGGTAAAATTGCGGTTTTCACATGTGTATTTATCACCTTTTTAAGCACAGACTGCATTCTATGGTGGAATAGAAACATTCTAATTTTGACCCTGTCTGATAAAGCGGCAGGTCAACTTCTACCCCAGCACTAATTTGAAAAAAAAAATCAGTACATACTAATTTTGTGTGGACTTGTTTTAGGGTACCATATTCACATTGTCCTTATAGTGCAGAAAAAGATACACTGTAACTTTTTCTTTCATGGTCGCAAGTAGAATTTCTTTGGATGGTTTTGAAGTGCTATAAGCACATAGTATCCATAGGTGTAAAAAAAATGACCGGAATGCAACATACTTAAAATATACAGCTTATTGAAAAGTGCTAAAAATAAGCTTTTGTGATACATTTTTTTGCAAATTTAATTAGAGAAATAAAATTTTTGACTTTTATACGTTTTCATTATATCCATAGCCATTATTTGTACCATGTTGTAGTCTATATAAGTGTGTTTTTGTATTTATTGTATATTTGGTATTGTCGTATTGTCCCTTTAACATATTTGTTGTATTGTCTCTTTAAGATTTCATTTTCAAACAAGTTACCGAAAATGGCTACAAAATGTTTAATTTCGAACATGTTTCCACTATTCATTTTGGGACACATCCACTGATTTCTACAATACAGAAATGTGGAAGCTTAAATATTAACGGCAACGAAGCCTAATTGCGTCGAAGTGGGTGACATTGAACAGTGTAGTATGGTAGCTACAGCTCTCGGGCACCGTCAGGGCCGGATTTAGAATAAGAGAGGCCCTAGGCAAACCCCCTGTACAGGGCCCACGACATGGACCTTGGGGCCCTGGGACAAGCAACTCGGTGAGAGGGTGGGTCGGGGGAAGTCATGCGGTTGGTGGTTCGAATCTCACTTTTAGGTGAATTTTTCATTTTCGGTGGATTATTTTATTTAAAATAATGTCTATTTGAGAGTAATGGATATGTTTGTTAAGATTGAGCACGTCGAAACTCCAATGGAAGGATGTGGACAACTGCAGAAGTCAATTCCCGTTGACGCCAGATGAGCCATGAACGATTACAGGCCTTTGAAAGTATTTTTTTTCAAGATATTTTTATAAAACAGATACTAATGTATTTTAGGGCTGGTAGTAAACACCATATGAATGAAAAGGAAAATAAATTGTTAGTTTTTTTTTATCTACTACGGTTAATTATCTCCAAAATAGGGAAATTACAGGTTAATTTCATGGGTTATTGTTTCCTTTACCTAGTTTTTATCAAGTCGATTCCGGTCATTTTTATTTTTTGTATCAAATGTTGCAAGGTTGCTTGTTCATGTGAGCATAAATTTTTTAAACCCACCAAATGAAAGAAGTAGCTATAGGGCGTCAAACTTTGGGTGACGAAAAATGGGGAATTTAGACAGGCTTTGATATCCAGTTCGTATACAGATCTCGTTCGCAAGAATCGTCTGAAGTTAATATTGTGGTACCAGCACTGAGTCATCGATAAACTGTGTGAGTTTGGTCTTTCTGCTACGTATAGTAAAGGTGTAAGCACTTGCCAAAGTTGGTATTTGAGAAAAGACAGATTTTGGCAATTTCACCATATGAAAAATGTTTTTTCAATTTTCTCATACAGGAATTGAAAGATTTATCTAATATTGCACATTTATGTGTTTTGGGACTATCCCAACTTATAAACCAAATTTGGTCAAAATCTGTGATTGAAGCCTTAGCACCTTCTGCATGGTTTTCTCGCGGACACGCTCTTAATATCTATACCGTAACACTCATTCTCAAACTTCCGGTCATTATCATGGAATTACGGTCCATCTACAGGTCACAATTTATTTCTAATAAACTAACCCTCATTGGTAGAGGTAACAATTTTTATCTTATTTTCAAAAGTTTCACAGTTTGAATTTATTGAAAATCAGACTGAAAAATCATGTCAAATGGACGCTCCCCTTTACGCAAATAGTGTAAGAGTATGTAATACCAAGGTTGTAACAATTTTTATCCGATTTTGATGAAACTTAAAACAAGTGTTTAAGTATCACTAGTTCTTGGGTAAGTTCAAATTTAGTGCACATCGGACCTTCCGTTCTTCAGTTATGCCAAATGCCTTTTACGCAAAATGTGAAATATGAATAAAGTTTGTGGACCTCCTAGAGACGACAATTTTTGTCCAATTCATGAGATGGAAATTAAACAATGTGTTGAGGATCAAAAGTTCTTGGACATGAGTTTCACTTTGGTAGGCATGAAACCTTCCATTCTAGAGCTTTAGCACCTGCTATAGAATGTTAGAAAAACTCTATCCCGTCGTGTTTCAATTAGCCAATCTGTCATAAATACAACGGAAATGAGATGGAATGAAATATTCGACTGCTCAGTAAAGTTAACTAATTGGGATCCTCGCAACTGGGTGGCTCTTAACCCAGGGATCAGTATAGTGAATAGCAGGGTTTTTTCTTATGAAAGTCTGCGTTCTACTTCTAGAAGTCTCAATTCTATATTAAGATCAGGTATCTCCCAGTTACGTCACTGTATCTAACTGAATAGTTACTTGCGTGCAATAACCTGAAGAAAAGATCACTTGTGACCAAATTATTGGGGGGGTCTAAAACCCCTCCTAGCACCCCCCCCCCCCAACCAACTCCACCAATCATGCATTATGCTCAAAGTGTGAGTTATTTAAGGAATTAATCTTTGAATAACTCATCATCTGGTGTCAATCATCTGGTGTCAATCATCTGGTGTCAATCATCCAGACCTGATATACATTATAGTATTCACTTTTACATTCAAATAATTTTAAGAAATGGAACTCACCCTTGGTAGTGAATAAGCGTCATTTTCTATGATAACTTCCTCACGATTGGTCGGGTTCAGTGTTGGAGATTTAAACGCCTTTACTTTACCGAAAGGTGAAGACGGCGGCATAATATTATCCATGGAATTATTACTGTCGTTATAAAAACTATCCTGAGTAGCTCGTGTATACGATTCATTGCGTAATCCTGGCGCTCCATTAGCCATCAGTCTATTCAGCAGGGGATTATTGGGTTTTATAGTCCGATCATTCGGTAATTGGGAGTAATCTCCCTTAGTCACTGGACTGCCTTGCATCACATATTCAGCCGTGTCCGTAACATCCGACGTTTCACTTAGAGTAAAAGGAGAAGGAGCACCGATTTTACGCGCCACCGTTAAAAACGTGTGTCCTGGAATGGGTCCATCTTGCAGCATGGCATTACGTAGCTTCTCCATAGCTTTCATGTTCGTTAAGCCTACTAATTTTTCACCATTTATTTCCAGAAGTTGGTCATTGATAGCCAGTCGTCCATCCTGAAATATAATCATGTACTGAAACAATGGTGTGTAGGAGATTATCATGTAGTCCATAGTTCGTATCTTTAAGACTATCATGTAAAGGAAGGTGTCGTCATGACTAATTGTAAGACATAAAACACAGAAATCACAAACAAACAATTCAAACTATCAAGGTATCTAAAGGAGTGATTGATATATGGAATATGTTACAAGAAAACTACGTCATATCGGGACTAACTTGACTATAATACAGACATTAACATCTAAAGTGAATGCATTAGTCCTTCAGATACCCACTCCAGCCTCCTCCAAGTCAACAAATTATTACCTTATGAGCGGCACCACCTGGCATCACAGATTTGATGAATATACCCAGATCTTTGGACCCTTGTGGAAGTGAGATAGATTTCCCTTTCACACTGACCCCGAGCCCTGTAGACCCGGAATCACACAGTGGAATGTCCAGTAACAAAACTTCTTTATTCTGTAGGTTCGAAACAACGCCTTCATCTTCTATTTTCTTCACGGCCTGCAGAACACTGACTTTATCATCAGGAGACTGAAAGAAAATTATTTGTGAAAATATTTCAAAGATCTCTTAAAATTTGTGATCACCATTAGTGGAACTTGGAATCCATTTCAAACTCCTTTGTTTGGCCCAGAATATCTTGACTCAATCTTGACTCAATGCCATGTGTATATATCCCCAAAAACACATTGATGTCACAAAATGATCGCCTTTTAATGGTACCAAGTTATAGACTTAAAGCCTTTCCAATTTGACGATTCTCCCACATTGTGCCAAAACTATGGAACTCTTTAACTGTGCATCGGATAACTTTACAATGTTTGGAAACTTTTAAATCCAAACTAAAATCTCATATGTTTGAATCATATTATATAGAGTGAAGTATAAAACTGAAGAATTAAACAAATCAGAGCCATGAGCATCATAGATACAGTTATAACCAGTGGCTGCCAGGCAGGATATGTCCACATTTTTCAAGAGATGGATAGAGAACAAGCTAAACAAAAAGCGATTTTTCTTAACATCAAGGGCCATAATTCAGGAAGGTAGGATCAGATTGTGTTTATATCGAAAGGAACCAAGATCTTTGGGTTATAAACATGCATTTAAAGTTTCATTAAAATCGGATCAAAATCGTGACCTCTAGAGGGTCCACAACCTTGATATACCAGATGTTTACACTATTTGCGTAGAGGGGCAGCCATTTTGTCTGGCAGTTTTCGTCCGATTGACACGAAATTCAAACTCAACCAACAAGCTAAAAACAGGATTTTTCGTACAATCAGGGGACATAATTCAGGAAGTTACAATCCGGTATGCACACATTTTGAAATGAACCGAGATCTTTGGGTTATAAAATTACATTTCAAATTTCAACAAAATCAGATAAAAATTGTGACCTCTATATGGTCCACAAGCTAAAAACGCGATTTTTCATACAATCAGGGGCCATAATCCATGAAGTTACAGTCTGATACATCGCAATATCAACAGGAACCGAGATCTTAGAGAGATAAACCTATAATTCAAGTTTCGTTGAAATCAGATAAAAATTGTAACCTGTAGTGTCCACAAACAATTGTGAACGTTTGGACAGACGTCCAGATGGACAGGGGTGACGACAATATACGTCCGTATAAAAATGTTGTTGATCTGTAGCTTTAAGTGTATCAACGTGCAGTAAACATGTATACCTGAATACCTGAATCTAGGCAACATGTATACCTGAATCTAGGCAACATGAATACCTGTATACCTGAATCTAGAAATACGAAATATTTACCACTTCTGTTGCAGCATTAGGTTGCTCGTCTTCTGGTGTATCTACAGTCTCTTGTCGAGATACAATTAACTTGACTATCATATTTTTAGGGATTTTACGTAAAAATGCAACAGCTTCTGATTGAGATTTACCCGTCATTTCTTCATTGTTCACCTGTAACACAATAGACATGTTTTAGACCGTTAAGGTTTTTTTTATGTGTATGTCAATGTGTACACGTAACTCAAACAACTAGATGCTGTCCTTGTCTGACCCTCTGTCCTGACCCTCTGTCTAGGAGAAACTAGATGCTGTCCTTGTCTGCCCGTCTGTCCTGACCGTCCGTCCCACACCACTGATAAGGGGAAATCATACTGGATAATCCCTCGGGAACTTTTTTGACCAACATCGATATCGAACCCTGTACTTCCTAGTTACTGAGCCCCTGCGGCTCCGAAGGATATGGTGAGAAGTATATTTCTGATAATCAAGGATTAAATTATTGATGTTACCTGTAACAGCCTATCACCTGGTTTTAATCGACCGTCTGTTATTGCAGCACCCTGGGGTAGAATATTTTTAATGTATATTGGTATTTCTCCTCCAGTCATATTATCTCTGGACGTTACGCTGAACCCTAATCCTAGTTCACCTGAAAACATTGAAATATTGTGGTGTATAACCAAGTGTTTTTAATTCACTCATTCGCTAGACCACCTGGCCATCCCAAACAGATATTTAAACCCAGGAATAAATTTCTTATTACCTTTCTTCAATTCTATGTTGATCTTTTTACCGATTTTACGTGTGTTAGTCGGTGCGATGAATGCTGGTTCCTTGTTTTCTTTGTTTTCATTGGTCAGTGATGTTGACGGATGTCTGACTGGCACTGCAGGAGGTGTTCGTTTGGTAGGTGATGTTGGTTTTAGAATTGGCATGGAATCAGGATTCAATGGCAGTGTAGTTGGTTTTATATTTTTATTATTGTCTTTCACAGTTACATCACCAACATCCTGTTCCTTGGTTATATTAGAGGTCGAGACCTTAGAGGTCAAGGTTAAAGGTGAAGGCTTAATAGGTGAATGACCTTTGGGTTTGGGTAGAAGAGGAGGGGGTTGTGTCGGTAACGCGGGATTCGTTTTCTTCACCTTTAGACGAAGTTCCTTATTTTTCATGGCTAAACGAAATATTTCTTGAGCTCTGAAAAACAAACCGAAGATAAAAAATAAGGAGAAAAGAAGTTTATTTCTTGTTTTATAAAGACAGATGTATTATGTGAACTAAAGAGTAACTTGTGTATTTATACAATCTACGGCTTCGTTTACAGTAAACTTCGTATAAGTCGAATCTAAGTGGACTGACCAATTTTATCCGAGTTAAGCGAAGATCCGAGTTAGCCGAAGACCGAAATTCAATCGTAGCTCAGAAATAAACCGCAAGAGCAGGATAATAACTGATTCAAAGTAGTGCCGATTAATCGGATGCCGTATAAATTCTATAATGTCAATGTCTGTACTGCCTTCCGAGGTGTTTTTCTTGTGATTGTTTGTTATAAATTATAAGTAAATTATAAAATGATGCGTGAACACTGAATAGCTGATTGTATATTATTGAGCTGAGTAAGATATTCCCGTGTTCTGACTTACCCCTACAGCTTTAACTGCTAATTAAAAATCCAATACCGGCAATAGATTACAATTCACTAGTACAACAATTCCCGTTAATAATATTTTAACATATATAGCGAAAATCATTGACAAAAAACAACTACAAAAGCCGCAGGAGACGGTACAAATAGAAAAAAACCCCAAACCATGTGACATTTAAAAAGGCGGCAACATATTCCGAGGGGGGGGGGGGCGAATAGAACATCCTCCTGACTGTAGGGAACTCATTTATTTGTTGTCTCGTACACAGTAACGGCACATTCTGATTGTGAATTCAATAATAAATTACAACTGGATTTAAAATTAATTTATACTGGAGGAATTTCGATTATATTGTTGGAGCATTGTTTTCTTCTTTATAAAACGGTATTTTATTAAAATTACATTGGCAGTTTATCACTCGTAAAAAGGCACAGCCAACTTCCCCGTCTCATGCAGCATGCATTCAGTCCATGTATTATAATGCCCATGAAATTATCAGGTGTGTTATTGTTCGTTGTTGACAGGGAAAATTCTATTATTGCATCGCGTCAAATAGGCAGATTTGAGGCAAAATGATAGGGGGAAAGTATTTTGTGGCTCTGTGCATGGAATACCTAACCATGTTTTAGGCCATCGGTACAAAACTGGCTTAGTCAAATTCTGAACATACTGCCGATCCGACTTAGGCGAAGGAAAAAAGCCCGAATTAGATCAAATGGACCGAACATTTGGATCCGAGTTGAGCGAAGATCCGACATAGGTAGGAAATACGAGTTAGGCGCAGAAATTTAATAAGAAAACCGTGCAGGATCAACGGGTCCAAACGATTTTATCCGAGTTGAGCGAAGAACCGACTTACACGAATCCGATTTATTCGAGGTTTACTATACTACCAACATGTCTCACCGTTTGAACGTTTCCTGTAATAAACTCTGACCGTTTATTTCTATAATTTTATCTTCTTCTTTTAATCTTCCATCACGAAAGACCTTACCACCCTTCTCAATACCTTGTATCATCAACCCCATATCCCTACAAATAATAGTAATCTTCATCAGTCAAGAGCAATGGCTTGATATTCCATCAGTTTAACGCTGTTTTATTTTCTGTATACTGACTGGGCTACTTTGGTGAGAGGTGTTACAGGAGATGGGGAGCAGATCAGATGCCCTCAATGTATCATGTATAAAGACTCTCTCAATGTATCATGTATAAAGACTCTCTCAATGTATCATGTATAAAGACTCTCTCAATGTATCATGTATAAAGACCCTCTCAATGTATCATGTATAAAGACCCTCTCAATGTATCATGTATAAAGACTCTCTCAGATTTCGATCATGTGCTGACAATCATGTGCTGGTTGGCCGATTATCTTGGGGAGTTTTTTCAAACATTCGCAATTTGTCAATTTTTGAAACTTATACCCAAACTTATAACAAGGCTTATACCCAAAACTCTGTGTAACAAGGCTTATACCCAAAACTCTGTGTAACAAGGCTTATACCCAAAACTCTGTGTAACAAGGCTTATACCCAAAACTCTGTGTAACAAGACTTATACCCAAAACTCTGTGTAACAAGGCTTATACCCAAAACTCTGTGTAACAAGACTTATACCCAAAACGGAACATGAAACTGTCAATCACAATAGATGAAATATTAGGAGATATTTACCTTCCACCCTCATCGTAATCAGGAATAACATGAATACCTAATGGACCACCATCGTTAATTAAAACTATAACATCATCATCATCATCATCATCATCATCGTTACTGTAACAAATAATCATCATCTTCATGGTTACACATGTACATTTAACAAATAATATAAATCTTCATTGAAACAATATACCTCTAGTGTCAGGGTCTACAATGAAAATAAATAAATTACCTGTTAATGTTTATTTCATGGTTTTGTTCTTCTGCTCCACTACTGCCCACAGGACCTTTACGTTCCTAAATAAATACAAACAACTTTACTACAAGTCAACTTATTTACAATAATTGATGCAATATTCAACTTGGGGATGAAATATGGTATAATTCCGGCCATTTAAAACTGATGGTAAATCAAACTATCTTATCTCAACTTATACTGATGATATATAGAACTACATGTATCTTATCTCAACTTATACTGATGGCATATAGAACTATCTTATCTCAACATAAACTGACGGTAAATCAAACTATCTTATCTCAACTTTTATTTTGTTTAAGAGCCATTCCACGAGAAAACCATGCAATATCAGGCAGATTTTCGAAGGTGGGGGTCAGCCGATTGAGTTCATACTCACAGGGTTTGGTCGACCCATCAAGCCTACTCTCCAGCCAAAATCACTGATTTCCGAAATCAACCGTTTCCGAGATAAAGGCCGATTACGTTTTTCAGCTTGATTTTTGTCATTTGTAGGCCAAATTTTAGCTATTTTTGTCGCTCTACTACCGCTGTTGCATGACCCTGGCGAACTAGGTTTTGGTTATAATCTTTAAGAGGCATTTAGTAACTGGGTAGAGCAATACACAAAAAACACATACTTATGGAAAAACAGCTACTTATTTATTTGGGCGACGTTTTGGTTGTTCGTGATAGTTGGGGTCTTACCCTATCATATTATCAAGTTCATTTTCCATAGGTATCAGGAGACTACACAAGATACGTGTCTGGAGATACCTGAAATGTACCCTATCTTCAGATCGCGATAACTCCACTGGAGCAGGATTTGCAATAAAAATTAAAATCAATTTATTTGCAGCTGGACCAGTTCTAACAACCCAAGAAATAGAATCGTTGTCAGCTAACTTGCAAAAGTATGAAAATTTGTGTCGAAAGTTACCAAAAACTTTAGTTTTGATTGGGATACCATGGCGGATTATTCAGGTACCCAATCGCCAATATTGTTATTCAAAGGGTCAATATATCAACTCCGGCTCCCCTTCAATCCGCTTTGCCAAAATATTCAGTCTCGGTGTGGTTTGGTATCCAGTCTACAAATACAAGATGGCGTCTTGATCCTGATTATTTAAACATATTTTTTTTCAATTCAAAATTTTGAAAGATAGGTTGCCAGGCAACGAAACCTACGCCCACAGCAGCTAAATCGTCCGGGCAGTCAACAAGAGTTGTCGCATATTTTTACTTTTTTCGGTAATGAAACATTTAAAATACACTAAATCTGATTAAGAGCAACAACTCAGAAAACCATTAGAATTTGTTTGGTTTTTATAAAGTTCTGCCCCATGCTAACGTTTTGTATACAAAACTTTTAATACTGTATCATGTATTCCAAGTCATAAAAATTCATTGAAAATCAATATACTTGTTTGTCTCAAGATCTTAAACTCTGTGTATCAATCTGAAGTCAATCGGATATTAACTTTGGCCTCTAGAGCGTCCACAAGATTTTTCAAAGTGATCAAGGGCCATAACTTTGGCAGTAATTATCAGAAATCTTTGAAAATCAATAAGATTATTCGCCTTGTGACCTCAAACACTGTGTATAAATTTAAAGTCAATGAGATATTAACTTTAGCCTTTAGAGCATCCACAAGGTTTTTTGAAGTGATCAAGGGCCATAACTCTGGCAGTAATTATCGGAAATCGCTGAAAATCAATAGGCTTCTTCGTCTCATGACCTTAAACGCTGTGTATAAATTTAAAGTCAATCGGATATTAACTTTGGCCTCTAGAGCGTCTACAAGATTTTTTGAAGTGATCAAGGGCCATAACTCTGGCAGTAATTATCGGAAATCGCTGAAAATCAATAGGCTTCTTCGTCTCATGGCCTTAAAAGCTGTATATAAATATAAAGTCAATCGGATATTAACTTTAGCCTCTAGAGCGTCCACAAGATTTTTTGAAGTGATCAAGGGCCATAACTCTGGCAGTAATTATCGGAAATTGCCGAAAATCAATAGGCTTCTTCGTCTCATGACCTTAAACACTGTGTATAAATTTAAAGTCAATTGGATGTTAACTTTGGCCTCTAGAGCGTCCACAAGATTTTTTGAAGTGATCAAGGGCCATAACTCTGGCAGTAATTATCGGAAATCGCTGAAAATCAATAGGCTTCTTCGTCTTATGGCCTTAAACAGTGTATATAAATTTAAAGTCAATCGGATATTGACTTTAGCCTCTAGAGCGTCCACAAGCAATGTGGGCGTATAAAAATAGTCGAGTTAGGGCAGATGAAAGTCGACCCAATTTCCATGAAAATCGCCTATTTAGTCGTCACCGTGACCTTCAATCGCGAGGTCATCAGGGATACAATTTGAAGTTCACACGTTGCTCTATCGACGAACCATATCTCATTCGAAAATATTGAAAAACAAATGAGTTAGAGTTGGGATTTCAAAAATTTGCTTGTCGGACATTTTACCGAAAATAAAGCGGTTAAGGAAACGGATTCATACCACAATTAAAAATCACGTGTCAACAAAATATTCAAATCCGCACGTAATAAAAATAGGAATTCCTCGCTATTTTTGCACGCCCACATTCTCGTGTGAACGTATATTGTCACCCCTGTCCGCCCGTCCGTCAACAATTAGTTTATGGGCACTCTACGGGTCCTTTTTCAACAAAACTTGAAATATAGGTTTATTCCCTACGAATTCGGCTCCTGTCGATATTGGTATGTATCGGACCGTAAGTTCAGGGGCCATAGTCCACGTTTTTAGCTTGTGGACACTGGAGGTTATAGTTTTTATCCGATTTTTATGAAACTTAAAAGGTATGTTTATAACCCAATGAACTTGGTTCCTTTCGATATTCTCGCATATCGGATCTTAACTTCCTGGATTATGGCCCATGATTGTACAAAAAGTCACGTTTTTGTTAGAGGTCAAAATTTTTATTCAAGTTTTAAAAACGTTTTAATATATCACCGTTACGCGCTAATGATGGCGGACTTCGAATTTCTTGAAAATCGAATTGAAACTGCCGGACAAAATGGCCACTCCTCGTACGCAAATAGTGTAAAAGTATGTAATTCAAAGGTTGTGGATACCCTCGAGGTCACAATTTATATCTGATTTTCATGACTTAAAATAATTATGTTTAGATCCCAAAGATCTCGGTCCCTGTCGATATTCGCGCATATCGGACCGTAACTTCGTGGAATATTGCCCCCGATTTTTAAGAAAAATTGCGTTTTTAGCTTGAAGTTCCTCTTGAGGTCACAATTTTTATCCGATTTTAAAAACCATTTCAATATATCACCGTTACGCCCTAATGACAATTAAGTTCAAATTTCATGAAAATCAGAGCGAAGCTGCCGGACAAAATGGCCGCTCCTCATAAGCAAATAGTGTAAAAGTATGTAATTCCAAGATTGTGGACACTCTAGAAACACAATTTTTATCTGTTTGTGATGAAACTTAAAATATATGTTTATATCCCAAAGATCTTGGTTCCTTTCGATATTCGCGCATATCACCTTGTAGCTTCCTGAATTATGATCCCTGAATATACAAAAAAACACATTTTGATCTTGTCGTCCCTCTTAATGTCACAATTTTTATTCGACTTGATGAAACTTTTATATTATATACTTTTATATCCCAAAGATCTTGGTTCCTTTTGATATTGTCGCATGTCGAACTGTAACATACTGGATGATGGCCCCTGGTTGTACAAAAATCGCTGTCCATCTTTTGAAAAATGTGGTTATATCTTGCATGGCAACCGCTTATTCATATTTAATTCCCGCGTGGTATTCAAATTCATGTCAGTAATATTCCTACAAAATTACGTGTTTTCGTAATACAATAGAATGAAATTTGCCGATCCGCGCCTGTTTCAATCAAATTCATACCCGTAATATTCACCCAAAATTACGAGTCTTCGTTTATACGTCTGCAAATGAAGAAAGGAGTCCGAAATAAGAAAAGTCCGACAAAAGAGAAGCAATGACTTCTGTTCAAGATTAGATTGATGAATTTCCCGACAAAGTAGCAAGGCAGATTAAGCAGGTAAACAACCTAGGTGTATAGATGGTATAATACGTTAAATATACTGATCACTTACATGTAATTACCTAATCAATCCAGCCTATCATCAACAGTTATTGGGATGAGTGGTAGTTATACACTCAGTACACTATATTAATTTTGAAATTCTGAATATTATTCATCATATCTTGATGTCCGATTGGGCATATTCCTGGCCGGACATTTGGAAAATAGCGTAGGACATGCCCGGAATATACGGGCGAAATACCAACACTTAAGAAACTGAAATTCGACGCGAAAAGTGACGAATTTCGTAACTTTCGACACAAATTTTCATGCTGTTGAGGGTTAGTTGACATTGATTTTATTTTTTATGTTGTTAGAACAGGTCAAACTGCAAATAAATCGATTTTCATTTTTATCGCAAACCTTGCTCCAGTGGAGTTATCGCAATTTGAAGAAAGAGTATAATTCAGGTGCCTGCAGACACATATTTTGTGTAGTGCCATGACACCTACGGAAAGAGAGGTTGCATTGGGTGACCATTATAATATGGCAGGGTGAGACCTGGACTATAATCACCAACCAAAACTTAGTTCGCCATTGTTCGATTAAAAGCTATATGCATGCTACAAAAATGGTCGAAATTAGACCTGAAAATGACGAAAATTAGCCGAAAAACGTAATCTGGCTGTATCTCAGAAACAGTTGATTTCTAAAATCGACAATTTTGGCTGGGGAGTAGGCTCGATGGGTCAACCAAACCCTGTAAATATGAACTCAATCGGCCGACCCCCACCTTTGAACCTTCTGCATGGTTTTCTCGTGGAATGGCTCTTAAAGCCTTGATTATAATATAGGAGAAGGACAGGCAGGAAAAAGAAAAAACAATTTGTATTTAGATTATTTTGGTCCAAATCATATCTTTGTATACATCTTTCAGACCTAGATATGTATACATCTTTCAGACCTAGATGTGCACACATCTACCTGGAATACCAATAAACTGATCTTTCTTGCCCAAATATGTAAAGATTATGAACAAATTTACATTTTATTTTTGGGAATATTGTGGATGTTTACAAGTTATGAATAGATTGTTTTTTGCCTACATGAATATGTGGATGAATCGGACGTATTTATGACCTTTTAAAAGATTGTAAGAGTTGTCAGATATCTACAACTTACATTGGCATATTTTTCTCCCTGTCGTTCCTGAGCTTCCAACCAACGAAACATATCAGGTTGATTGCTGAGTGATTGACGTCCAGAATCACGACTAAATCTATTAAATTTATTTTTCTTCCTCTCCAGGGTGTTTGGATTGGATTGTGAATGTTTTTCTTCTTCTGATTCGTATTCTGAATGAGGCTCATCGCTTTCCTGCAATATACAGTAAAAGGACGTCCATAATTATCTTCTGTTTTATCTTGTCTCTGATCAGAATCTCTAATTTTTTTAACTTTGAATAATACATTTTCATTGTGTTACTCAAAATTTTGCACAGTATTTCAAGTTATTTCGAACGTTTTGTTTTACATATCTATTTTGCACTTGCCATTAGAAAAATCTTGTTTAATTGAAGCAACTGCCAGTGTACTGCCCTCATTAAGTCATGATAAAGTTGATGATGATGAATCAAGATGTGAATGATGATGATGGTGATAAATCAAGATGTGAATGACGATGATGTTGGTGATGATGATGTGTAAAGACGAACAGAGATAAGAAAGATGTTCGATTGTAATAAAAATCTTAATTTACCCGTGATTCTTCTTGTGATTTTACGGTGAGTTTCGAGATTCCATTTGGAACTGGTATTTTACCGATAGTATTTAAAGCTGGTTCGCTTCCCCTCCGCACCGTTAGCGATGATCCTGTAACAAAATTCAAAATGGTATAATCGAACAGACGATAAGGGAAACATGCTTAATCATTTTGATATTAGGATATTTTTTATTACAATGCATTCCGATTCCAACTTGTAAGAGTTCTTTCATTACATGCACGCCAATGTGTCAAAAGTTTTTTGTACCAACCAAATGATTAAGCAGACTTTCCTTATCAGCCACACAAATGTTTCCCCTGCCGAGTCAGAATTGAGCTTGAGATTCCCATGGGACTACCAATTATAAACAAGTTGGGGTGAGATGACAGGACTACAGATTGAGAGACTTGATGGCATCCCACAACTTACCTAGAATTAAATCTCTTGGAGTAACAACTACATCAGTTTTACCATTGGACTGAGAAGATTGTGAGTTGGTGACGGAACCGGACTGAGTGCTCTCCCCGGACTGAAAAATATCAGGGCTAGCTGTACCCGTAGAACTAGCACTGGCACCATCTCCACCATTATGATGTCCTGGTATTCGACCCTGCTCCTCAAATATTGCAATCAGCTAATGAAAATAGTTAATAGAGCATAGTTAACACAAACTGGGTACCTGGAAAGTCAGAAAGGTGTCCTGGGATGGAAGCCACTAGGGCTGGTGGAAATAATCGATAATTGCCGATAATCGTCGGTAAGTGTTTTGAAAATCGATTATCGATACAGTTTTAAAATATCGATTATCGCGCAATTATAGGTACTTCACTTGCAAGAAGAAGTCCATAAAAATAATCTTTATCACTGTATTCTTTGCAACGCGTGCTTGGGCCTAGAACTGTAATTAAACAGAATAGTCATAATAAAACACACATGTTTGTTGGGTTTTTTCCACGCGAGACGCAACCGGTGAGAAATGTTGGCCGCTTATGTCATGATGAGAGCCAATGGTTTCACGTAACAACCAGTTGTGTCCCTTATTTTTAACTCTTCAGTTCTTTCGTCTTCTCTGTTTCTAAGTCAAACCATAGAGCTAAATGGTCAAACACGTACTTTCCCTTTATAAAATTTATTAATTTAATAATTTCCCCAGTACGAAGAAATCACTGCAAGAAATAAACTGTTACGGCGAACTAAAGAATTTGTTTGATGTGATCAAAGGGAAATAACTACATTTTACTCAGTATTATTCAGGTCATAAGCGACAAAGATATGGCGAGTGGTGGCGGGTTCTGTCTTCCAAACGAATTTGATTGAGTTTCTTTCTACACCTTGGTTTTGCTATGGAATACTATTATTTTATTGTCAAATGTCAAATTAACGGAAAAATAAAATTCTACATGTATACAGAATGATATCACAGCATAAACTCGCATATAATTCGTGTACAAATTATGATTGTTTTCAAACCAATTCAACAATTGTAAGTCAAAATAATTTGCCGATATTATCGATCGGCGGATGGTCCGCGATAATCGATACTTGAAACAGGATCGATTGCCAGCCCTAGAAGCCACACCAGCTGACTCAATGACAAGACCTTTTGATCTAAAGTGCATGTTAGACTATTCAGTAAACAACCTTATTAAAATCAAAATTAAAAATGTATACATGTACATTGTATATGTTACACCACTTGACCACTCATTAACATCCAAAATATATCTCATCTGCTTACCTGTTCCCGATCATCAACAACATCACTGAGCTGATCATCAGGATCCAATATACCTCCACCACTTATAGTCTTTACATTATTCACATGGACCCAATGATTACTAGACTAAAATATACAAATAATACACAGTATTAAATACACCATATCTACACAGTTGACTGCCTCTTGTTTTATATAGATATACAACAGATAGACAGACCCCCTGTAGACTACATCTGGTGAAGAAAACCAGATCTCTGTAATAAAAAACCAGATTACTTTTACCCTCATCCCTCTTAACCTTTAACTTGTAGTCTTGTTAAATGTTTCTGGTATGGTCGGTACAACATAAAAGTTTAATCATTTTCCACCAGTGATTTAATGTCCACAGTACTAAAAAAAATTTTGATATACAGCTTGTCCCAAGACTGATTTTACTCTTCAATAACTCAATTCAGTTTAATTGGTCGAGAAATGGTGAACTAAGAAATTTGTAAGTCAAATATTTATGACAAATTACAGTGAGTGGATTGGAGGTATCTCAGATACAGTGAGTGGGTTGGAGGTACATGTAGTATCTCAGGTACAGGGGTTGAAGGTATCTCAGGTACAGTGAGTTTGGATGAAGGTATCTCAGGTACAGTGAGTTTGGATGAAGGTATCTCAGGTACAGTGAGTGGGTTGGAGGTACATGTAGTATCTCAAGTACAGGGGTTGAAGGTATCTCAGGTACAGTGAGTTTGGATGAAGGTATCTCAGGTATAGTGAGTAGAGGTATCTCAGGTAAAGTTAGTTGGTTTAGGTATCGCCACAAGGTTTGACATGTGACCCTACTATTAAACTGTCAAGTAATTAAATAAAATGAATTTTGAAATAAAAAAATAAACCACTCCATCCCACCTACATTTCAACAAACAACATGAAAAGATCTTGAACTTTTTAAAAGTACAAATGTAATATTGTAGGTCTATATCTATAAATGTTAAGATAAGTGCCATGTTTATTTATCGTTATTTGACCTCTGTCACCTTATCACACGATAACACAACCAATTAAACAGTTCACTTTCTCCAAATTAAAATATTCTATTTGATATATAAAATCCTGTCTTGATTAGCCCAGTAGGATGTTAAACCCCATTTCATTTGAGATGTTTTAAATATATAAAAGATGTATGTTGTATACAACTATTTATTCTAAATAGTAACATCATTGGACCAGATATTTCATAAATAAGATTGCTGCATTTTTAACCATACAGATCAAACCATGATATAGTAAACAAAAGCACCATCATCTATAACCTTCCCAAGATTGTTACATAACTGTAATGGGCCTACAAGATAACTGTAATGGGCCTACAAGATAACTGTAATGGGCCTACAAGATAACTGTAATGGGCCTACAAGATAACTGTAATGGGCCTACAAGATAACTGTAATGGGCCTACAAGATAACTGTAATGGGCCTACAAGATAACTGTAATGGGCCTACAAGATAAGCTGGCTTCAAATAACAAGGGAGTTGGAGATATAAACTGTCTTTTATAAACAAGACAAGATTGTCTATTATTTAAATTAACAAGTATTGATATTAAATCTAGCTGATTATCATCTGGTTTTCTCATCATGTCTACATCAATCAATATTATTGTGGGTCAAGTATTTTTCTCCTGTAGGGTTGTTTTTGTTCGGTACAACCCCGAAAAACATTAACTGGGATATAAACCTGTCTCGTTGATGACAGAAATAAATCTGCCATCAATATTTGACATGAGTGCATTAGGTGTATGATTAATGTCATTTCGTAGTTATCAGATCAATTGCATTTTGTAATATCGCTGTGGAGAGGGTCACGGTGGCTAAGTGGGTAAGACGCTGGCTCGCTAGCCTGGAGGTTGGGTGTTCGATCCCTGCATTGGCCGAGAAACTTCATCCAGATTTTCCGACGTGGTTCCCCCTTGTCAGTGATGCAGGACGGAGGGCCTGACAAGGACAGCAGCTGTCTAGTCGTTTGGATGGGATGAAAAAATGAGGTCCCGTGAGCCGCTGTCCGGGCAAAATTTCCCTCATAGCACACTGTATGGCATATGCCCATCTTCATTAGCCCAGTTCGGAGCAAAACAGTAGGACGTTAAACCTCATTTCATTTCATTTTCATTTCATTGTCTGTTGTGTCCATTGGTTGTGTTGTCATTTTTAGAGCCCAAGCAAATAAATTCTACTACACATATATAAATCTTATACTTTCACATTGTGACCTTTAAATTTTTGAAGCGACCAATGGCCGGACGAAATGATTAATTGGATGTTCAAATATTTATTGTCTGTGACTTCCATGTATTTTTGTAATCCTACAACATATATACTGTCACACTGTAATCATTCTTGTCTTTAACCCCTTCAATAAGCATGCGTACAATAGGAGAACCCACCATCGCTTGTTACACGTATGTCCTATATCCAGAAGTTAAGGCAACAGCTGTTGATAGACCACAAGCTGTTGATAGAACCACAAGCTGTTGATAGAATCACAAGCTGTTGATAGACCACAAGCTGGAGATAGACCACAAGCTGTTGATAGAACCACAAGCTGTTGATAGAATCACAAGCTGTTGATAGAATCACAAGCTGTTGATAGACCACAAGCTGTTGATAGAACCACAAGCTGTTGATAGACCACAAGCTGGAGATAAACTATGTTGCAATGTTGCAGTGCCCACAATACAAGCACCGAGTTCTCTGAATGTAACCTTCACTTATAAACATCCAGACATGGTATAGCTTAGTCCCATGAAAGCAGTAGGTGTGAAACATTCATGAACTTGACTGTCAAAGGGTTAAATAATTTGATTCCTTATATCTATTATAAAATATATGTAACCATCTAACACAATTTGTAACAATAAATAACAACCCAATTCTATATTATATGACACAAAAACACTTCACTTAGCTTTAAACAAACAAATAAAACTAATTTAACAAATGTCTAATTGGTAAAAATCACAACTATGTCAGAATTTGAAAAGACATCCGGAATTAAATGAGAATAAAAAGATGACTACAACTGAATCAATCTAACATAGTTTATAAAGCAAATACATGTACAGCCATAAGTGAAGAAATCTGGTTAAAAATGGGGTGTCACTGTTAATCAACTTATCTAAAGTTTCATTTAGTAATGGTTTTACCTGGTTATCTGACAAACGTAGGTACATGTATATAAATAGTTTTACCGGTATCTTGTTATTGTCTACCTGTACAAAACTATCATCTAACTCTTTACCTAGGGGGCATCTCATAACATTATATGCAGTCAATACCTGAATGATATTTTGATATCTCATAATAACCATGTACATGGGTTAACAAGTTATAATCATACATCAATAAAAACCTGGTCCTTTACAAGGAAGATTAGGGGTATTGGTGATCGAAGATTAGGGGTGGAAGGGTGGTGGAAGATTATGGGTATTATATTTTCACCAACATGAATTGAGGAGATTTTGAATCCCTTGAAAAATCAAATATTGTAAAGACTGAATCCCTAAACGGAAGGGCCCCTGCTCTTGGTGGGCAACCTTTTCTTGGTGAGCCCCTGCTTCTCTTGGTGAGTAACTTTCTCTTGGTGGACAACCTTCTCTTGAAGGGCAACCTTCTCGTGGTGGGCAACCTTCTCTTGGAGGGCAACCTTAACTTGGTGTGTAACCTTCTCTTGGTGAGCAACTTCCATTAGTGGGTAAACTTCTCTTGATAGGTAACCTTCTCTTGGTGGGTAACCTGCTCTTGGTGAGCAACTTCCATTAGTGGGTAAACTTCTCTTGATAGGTAACCTTCTCTTGGTGGGTAACCTTCTCTTGGTGAGCAACTTCCATTAGTGGGTAAACTTCTCTTGATAGGTAACCTTCTCTTGGTGGGTACCTGCTCTAGGTGAGCAACTTCACTTAGTGGGTAACCTTGGTGGGTAACCTGCTCTTGGTGGGTAACCTGCTCTAGGTGAGCAACTTCACTTAGTGGGTAACCTTGGTGGGTAACCTGCTCTTGGAGGGTACCTGCTCTAGGTGAGCAACTTCACTTAGTGGGTAACCTTGATGGGTAACCTTGATGGGTAACCTTCTCTTGGTATGCACCTAGACTTTATCCTAGTCAGCCTTTAATACAGCACTGTCAAAATAGCTACCATACTGTACATGTAATTTATCAATTTAAATTATCGCCCTGAGGAAAAAATGTACTCGAGAAGAAGTTAGAGACACTGAAGCATGGTGATATATAGAATATTGGTTTGTCTATAAATAGTTATAATGAATGATGAATATGATTGTGTGAAATATTTGTCATAACTCATGACTGATAAACATGGAATACCACATTACATACATGTATAATATCGTATCATACATAGAATACCATCAATATAACACATTACATGTACATATACAATGTAATATCATCCCTAAACAGGAGTGTAAGAGTGTGTGGAGAATCTATGGAGGAAAATCAAGCTATATAGTTCAGCCAAAAACAAAGTAACACATCTTATTTAAAAATCAAACAAAGGAAAGATTGATAGCAGTGATAATAGTCAAATAAAACTATTTAATATTGCAAATTCCTTACTAGATAATAATAACAACAACGTTCAGGGTAATACATCCTCAATGATTCATCAATTATTCAAATAAACCTTTTAAACATATCATTTGATCAATCATTCTCCTCTTTTTATTTCCTTACAATCAAATCAAATGAAATGAAAGGAAATGAAATAAAATGGAGTTTAACACCCTACATGTACATGTAACGTTCTCATCTAACTGGGTTATTAAAGATGGCATACAATGTGTGATGAGGAAAATTGTGCCCCACAGCAGACCTTTAGCCTATTTTTATTCTGAATTTCAACTGTCAAGAGTTCTTTCAGTGCATGCAAATGTGTACAGATGACATCAGTCCCATCCGAATGACTAAATGTAAATACATTGCCAGGTTCTCTGTCCTCTACCACTGACCAGGTGGAACCACGCCTGATGAACATTCTAGTACAACTGAACACTGGGATTGAACATGTGACCTCCAGTATTGGTTTAGTTGTAATAACCTTTCTACATGTCCTTATCCTTCATCACATTTAAAACTAACAAAAATAGAAAATGTCATCAATCAATCAATTAGTGAAAATAATTTGAGTATAATGGAGGACAACTTGAAAGAAAGAAAACAATGCAGGTGTGGGGTGGGGTGGGGTGGGGATATGAGGTGGGGAGGGGTGGGGATATGAGGTGGTACTGGTGGAACATGTTCTATATGAACATGTATAAAATACTGGTCTACTGGCTGTCGGGCGAAATCACCCTGATTGAGGAACATGGACTAGCCTGATTATTGCCTTTATTATGATTATCTTATTAATATCCCTGGCATACTGACATCATACACTGTTGAGGGGAGGTCCATCATACACTGTTATATCGATCTATATGCTGCTAGAGTATTTTATCTGATTGAATCCAAGCCAGAAGATGTGACTGTCATGTTAACAGTGACACACCAACACACAACAAATCATCCAGTAAAATTTATTAACTCAAGTTTATCATGTACCAGCTTGAACTTCAACCTTTGCTCTGTTACTCATCCAATGACCTTTAGCCCCTTAATAATCTGACCTTCAAGTGGTGTTATCAATAATGTAAGAGGTTTGATGCTGTATAAACAAGGGTGTATAATTAGACTTTGATCTTCGACCCCTGTCTATTTACCCTGTAATTAAGGGATCAAACAAAGAGTAGGGGATCAATACCTTCCATCGTTTGTTTGGGTGAAGACTCGGTTATAACAACCAATCAGTGTATAAATAGCCAACATCTTCTCACTGTCAAGTAGACTTTATTGTCATCATCGGACAAACTTGATCAACAAAGTTTTGTCAAATCTGATAATTTTACATTTGATAATGTTGAAGCTACATGTAATTGGCTTTCTGGTCTTTTTACGGACAAAAAAGTGAGGTTCACCAGGCATGGATTTGAACCCACAGATCACTAGATCTTTATTCACACCTCACCCCACCCAAAGATCACTAGATATTTTATTAGTCCATCCAACGTGTAGTAAACTTTCTCATTAGTCATATCACTATTTACATCCTCTGGTTTTTGTTTCTAGCTCCTTATAAATTTTTAACTCATATGCGGGGGGTCACGGTGGTTAAGGGGGTAATGTGCTGGCTCATTCCTGGAGGTCGGGTGTTCGATCCCTGCATTGGCCAAGAAAGTTTTATTCAGATTTTCAGGCGTGATTCCCTCCTTTGTCAGTGATGCAGGATGGAGGGCTTGACAAGGACAGCTGTCTAGTCGTTCGGATGGGAGGGAAAACCAAGGTCCTGTGTACACATTGGCGTGCAAGAAAAGTTGTACAGGAAGTCAATATATATATATATATTAAAATCATGTGACTATCTGCCATACATGTATCACTATAACCAACATGTTAAACTCTGTCTCTACTAACATCTTCTATTCTAGATCTAAAAATCAAAACAAAAATGGTCAGAGCACAGGGAGAGAGAGAGAGAGAATTGTTATAAATACATGAAGTACATGTACCAATCATAGGTTTCACAACAGTGGGATTTAATTGTAGTATGTCTAGGGTTGGTGATGTACCAAGTTGAATCACCATAATATACATGTTGAGTATATACAAGTTTACCTGGTATTAAAATACTCTTACAATGTAAACAAACAAATAATGGTTTGTCTCTACCTGTAATTAACACACCTGTATGTACATGTACATGTACCTGTATATCAGGTATGTACATGTAGGACAGAACTTGACTAGAATATAGTAATCTTCGATAACTCTTCATCATTATAATTAGTCTATAAAAATGTTTGTAAACCAAGCAGAGTAATCTTATCCCTCACAATGACCTATATCACATATACTGGTATCTACTGTATGATTGGAATTTTTAATTTCCAGTTTCAGGTCACTTGTTATCTTTAATATTTACATCTACAATAGTTTTTTCTACAACATGAGGTCCGCTTGTTGTTATTAAAAACATGTTTTATGTGAGATTGCTGGTCTTTCTTTTGGCCTTATATAAATTATTATTAAGTCAATTAAGCCTATAATCAACTCTCTAGATCATCCGATGGAAGAGATATTAAATGGATGAGATTATAAGCATAGGTAATCTAGACTTTATTATCATAGCAATGGTACTTGACAACCAAAACAATTTAACCTACACTGTATCTTGTCAAAATTTCAAGCAATTATAATTTGACTGAAATTTTTTATAAATATCCATTTTTCATTATCAATTTTTAAACTTTTATAGCAAGAATGGGAGTCTCTTTATCTACATGTAATTCTTACATACATGTACGTACAATGTAGCGTTGGTGATTGGTATATTGACACGTATATGTATTGTACTGTGAGGTTATACAACCATTAGTGATTAGAATTGGTATAGATTGTTGTAGGTTGTTATAGGGTGAATCAAAATGAATGACTGTAACCTATAGTATAGTACCGGTACATGTACATGTATCATGGATCAAGTACTATCATTGAGTTTAATTCATATATCTCAATCCTCAATCATGTAATAAATTATTCTAGTCTATAAAATAAACATTTCAATATAATCTATTATCTTTAATTTCTCCTTAGCAAATGTTGATGAGACCAGTTCAATATTCCATCTTTGCATACATGAACATCTTATATTCTGCTGGTCTCACCTGGCTCAGCCCTACATGCATCACCCACAGGCAAGTGAAAGTCAGGCTTAAAACAATCATATGTACAATGTACATCAAATTTATACATGTGACCCTGTTTTTTTGTTCTATCCCAAAACTTGATGTTTTAGACCACGGACAATTGTAAACCTAGCTGGATTGAATCAGTGATGTTTGGTTATCGATGAGCGCCATGTCAACTGAGGTCCTGACTGTTCCAATAACCAAACCACCATGTAAATACACTGTGATATATCAGCATTTAATGACATTATGTAAATCATATGATAAATACATCAATTATATATATTAAACATAATCACACAGTTATTAGTTTTATATGCTAATACAATGTATTCATATGATGTGTAACAAGTTCAGCTTCAATTGTTTTGCACCTCTACACTAGATTTATTTTAACGGTAAAATTTATATCAATTATTTGTAAACATAGATATATGAGAGTTTAATATGCGTCCAGTAAGATATGTTTGTGTCCAGTAAGATATGTTTGTGTTTAATATCGTCCAGTAAGATATGTTTGTGTTTAATATGCGCCCAGTAAGATATGTTTGTGTCCAGATATGTTTCTGTGAAAAGCTCTGGTGGAGTATATTAACAGATAGAATAACCAGATGTTTTACGATGTTTCCAAGATGTTGTTTGACTTAAATTACACAGTATGTAGTAGTCAGTGCACATCATCATTCATTATAAACACCAATCATATCCCATTCTATTCACATCCCACATTAATGTACATTTTACATGCATACTCATCAACTTATCAACAGAAGATCCAGGGAATTCCCCTTAAAGAAAGAAAATTCCAAGAGTTTCTTTTTATTTACACATGTTGATAACATTAACTTTACAACAAAATGAATACATGTACATGTATGTATCAACAAACTCTTCCATGTAAATCATCTGCAATTTCATTGATGGATTGGGCAGATTTGTTTCAAATTTTACATTGGAATCTGTGAGCAGTTGAAAAATTGCTGATAACTTAGACACAGCATGATCTAAAATAAACAATCCAAGGAGTGCTCCCTACAGCCCTTCCTTGACCCTTAATTAAAACAGCCTCTACTTTAAAGGAGCTAAATCGCTAATATTTTTTGGACCTAGAACTTGACAAAAATGGGTCGCAACACATATAATAATGTAATATGAATGTATTTAAACTGATTTACATTCAATCGTTTCTGTTTTTACTGTAATTTCTAATCAGTTATGTTCGGCGAAATACACCAGAAGTCTCATGTGAATGGCAATCTTTAGCATCTGGTTTTTCCAGTCTACACCGATGGTATTTATTGCACATGCTCTCCAGATAAGAATATAGCGTCACCATTTGACATGACTTGTGAAATATGTCTAGCCCTGTTCTTTGAGTCCCTTGTTCCAAATGGCGCTGAAACACATTATGGTACACGATTCGTGTACCAATGGTAAAATGTTTATTTTTTCTTGAATATTGGATATCAGAAGCCCATCTTCTCCCTGTAAGATCACAAGACCAATGTTGATTTGAATTGACAAATAATTTGTGTTTTCAATGTCGAAGATTTTTGATGATATTGAGTTAGTTCATTAAAGTAGCGATAAATCTATTAATGAGCTAATAATCTTACTAACAACAGTTCAAGCTCAGGTACATCACTTACTTTTACATGTAAACAAATGTTTATAGCCAACAAATTTAAAAATTAAGATTTTTCAAATACAGCTAACAGGTTAAATTTTGAATGAGAAATGAGTGAGATTGATCAATAGATTGCAAGTGGTTTGTTTTTATAAATAACAGTATTTCAACTGTAGGACATATGCAATTTGTTCATTATGTTTGACATCTCCCAGCATTCAAAAGTTTTATAAAATGTCTTCCACCGGGATGAGAATTATTTAATTAAAAGTAAATACTTCCTGCCCCTAGTTATCTTCAAGTATTTGAATAAAGTCAAAACTGAAAAAATTCTTACAAGTATTCAAACATTTATAGTTTAAACTGAAAAACTGTCGATCTATATTTCTGGAATGTTTGTAATCAATTTTAAGTAAATAACCAGCTCGCATTGACATTTATTTATAATCAGGTCACTGACAAATATGGCGGCGGATGTCAGACGACAGCCATGTTTCGTCAAGTTATTAACGACGTCCAATCTACCTTTCCTCGCTACAGGTGAACATCAAAGAAATTTGTATTATTTACCGACAACAATAGGTAATAGGATTACAGACGACTCACCTTTCCCGTGGCTTTCTTATACCGTATAATAGCCTTGTTGATGAGCTCACGAACTAAAATTTCTCCATCTCCACACGGAACAATTACACGCACATTGTCAAAACACACCGTTACTTTCATCGGCATAGTTTATAAATATCCACAAATAATGAACACAAAACGTCTTCATGGGAACGAGTAATCCACGCTTGCAACATTTAATTCAATTCTTAAAACACTCCACATATGAATAGTTGTTTGAACGAACGCTGCTTCATTGAAAAACGTAAAAACTTTTTCACGGTGTGGCCAATGTTTAGCAGGTTACACTGCTCTAAGATAGAAGATACCGACCGACTCTATCCACGAGTCCCTCTCTCACTCTGTGGCCCAGTTAGACGCTTGCCTATCAAATTACACTAAGTCGTGGGCCGTTCAAATTAAATCTGCTACAGTAATTAGGTTAAAACGTCCCAGCTCAACTCGTGCACATTCATACACCGCACAAGTTTAAATCCAAACTTTCATTCAGTACGAATCGTCCAAAAAAATTCAAAATAAAAGAATTGATCATCAAGTATGTGACACACAAGTTAATTGCGATCACCGTTGTAAAAACCATTAATCCAAATATTTTCCCAGAAACGTGAAGTAGTTCACAAGAGTACGTTGTACGGATAAATTATTCCAATGTTCCAATGGGTTAAGTTCCTACAGAACCAGTGTGTTGCGCTTAGTTCATCAGCCTTCGTAAACAAATTTTTACCTGTAAAAGGTAAATGAACTTCCTGTGTTGATCAGGAAGGACAGCAACACGAGTTATTTCCCCTTTTGATGACACCGACATTCTAGTTTCTTAATTCCCCGTAGAGGTAATGTTAATCTTTAAAGCCGCTTACCTTATCACTAGGAATGACACAGCTAGGGGTTCAAACATTACCCGAATTTCAAGTTATTCATAGACCTACGTCTCACGCAGATTCTAGACACCGTTGCAGGCCCAATTTAAGGAGCCTGGGCCCCGAAAAAAGTCGGAAATGGCATCTACAGGGTTCGTTTTGTCAACGTTTTCTCGGGTATGCGTACGATGATTTACGGTTTGTTTATTAAGATTTCACAGCCTATTCATTAAACTATTTATGTTTCGAGAAGATCCCAGTTGAGTAGCGGTATACAGAAGATCCCAGTTGAGTAGCGGTATACAGAAGATCCCAGTTGAGTAGCGGTATACAGAAGATCCCAGTTGAGTAGCGGTATACAGAAGATCCCAGTTGAGTAGCGGTATACAGAAGATCCCAGTTGAGTAGCGGTATACAGAAGATCCCAGTTGAGTAGCGGTATATAGAAGATCCCAGTTGAGTAGCGGTATACAGAAGATCCCAGTTGAGTAGCGGTATACAGAAGATCCCAGTTGAGTAGCGGTATACAGAAGAAGAAGAAAAATACTTTCCTCATTTTGAGACTAACATATTACATCATTTCCATGGTTACATGTGGAAACCGAGGAGGGGGGTTATGTCCGGACAGCGGCGTTTCCGCTTACTCTTTTCAAATTCCAACTGCCAAGGGTTCTTTTACCTGCTAGTCAATTTGAACACGGATGGGTCTTCTGTATATCGTCCCACCCAAAGGACTAGGAACACATCCCCTGTCAGACTCCCAGGAGCCACCGCTTACATGTGAGACTGGGCTTAAAACAAAATCCCGAGAGAGCACTCGATTACCGCGACACCGATACCATTATGGCGGTAATGATATCGGATTTATGTTCTTTAATTGCGATTTAATTTACTTCGACATAAATTTGACGTTTGGGACGAAATGGGACAACCCAGCTAAGTCCGGATTCCACAACGTTCACCTATTTGATACCATAACAGTAGACATAATTTTAACAGTATGTTTCCCACTCTTTTATACCACGTGTTTTGAAGGTCATTTGGTAATACTACCTTATTGGCTCGTGCCCCAGATTCCTTTGTAAATATTATGTGAAGTTTTCCAGGATGTATTATTAAGTTTTAACAGTAGGGCGTTAAACCCTATTTCATGTCATTTCATTATTATTTTTTTTTTTGGTTGAAAGTTATGGAAATGAAATGAAATGGGGTTTAACGTCCTACTGTTCTGCTCCTAACCTGGACTAATGAAGACGGGCATACGCCATACTGTGTGCTATGAGGGAAATTTTGCCCGGGCAGCGGCGCTACGGCCTACTCTTATATCGAATTTCAACTGCCAAGGGATCTTTTGCCAAGGGATCTTTTACGTGCACGCCAATGTGTACACGGGACCTCGGTTTTTCGTCCCATCCGAACGACTAGACAGCTGTCCTTGTCAGGCCCCCCACCCTGCATCACTGACAAGGGGAAACCACACCGGAAAATCTGAATGAACTTTCTCGGCCAATGCAGGGATCGAACATGCGACCTCCAGGCTAGCGAGCCAGCGCCTTACCTACTTAGCCACGCGATCCCCTGAAAGTTATGGACATGGGGAGTAATTAAATTGGGATATATTAATATGGCATCGACTAATTCCACATTAATTTATAATGCAAAATGAATTTCTTGAAAATTTCATTCCAATTACATCATTTACAGACATAAGCAAAATGCCATTGGAGTTTAACACGCTCCAATCCAGATACTTCAAGTGGTCATATGCCATACAGTCACACAGTGTGCTATGAGGGACACTTGTCGAGTGTCTTTAACGTGCACACCATCGTATACATGTCCCATCCAAACGAGTAGACGCTGTTTCTTGTCAGGTTTTCCGTCCTGCTTGTATCTAAAATATTTAGTGCCAACTTTAATTACTGAAGCTCAGCTCCCCGCCCCGCCATAGGCAGTATTAGCTCTTATGTAATGTATGTTTAACTAACGTTAGGGTCTCGTGTATGGTTCTGATCAAGGGAACCCACACTGTTCAATATTATCTCTCTGATCTGACCCCGAGACATACTTGTTTTAACTTATAATTCTTCCGATAGTCGGAAATTTCTGATCAATTTTTTTTTTAAAAATGACAAGATTAGACGGAAAGGTAGAAGAATGACTAAAATTGAGAAAGTGCACAGCGGTCTAATCCCTTCTCTTAAAATGAATTACCCCCCTTTAACGTTTACGTTTCAACAGTCTACCTGCAGATAAGTGAAAATAAAATTTAGCTGCGATATAATTTTCGTGCGTTAGTTACGTACGCAAAGTCGGGTCTAAAACATATGGTGACTGTTAGCGGCCATTCAAATGTCATCTAAATCGTCGCTTTATGAAGAAGGCGACAAGTCGACGAAATCAACCCGCCAACACGACAAAATAACCCGACGATCGTCGCCTTCATTTCGTCGACTTGTCGCGTCAATTCTGTCGTATTGTCGCGTCAACTTATTCAAAACCCGACAAGTCGACAAAATACAATTATTTGGATTGTCGTGCGATGACTTGTCGCCTTGGAAGTTAAAGGAGCTAAATCGCTAATATTTGGGACCTAGAAATTGACACAAATAGGACGCAACGCATATAATAATGTAATACGAATGTAAATAAACTGATTTACATTCAATCGTTTCTGTTTTTACTGTAATTTCTAATCAGTCATGTTCGGCGAAATTCGCCAAAGTCTCAATTAAATGACAATCTTTAGCGTCTGGTTATTCCAGTTTACACCGATGGTATTTATTGCGCATGCTCTCCAGATACGAATATAGCGTCACCATTTGACATGACTTGTGAAATATGTCTAGCTTCGTTCTTTGAGTCCCTTGATCCAAATGGCGCTGAAACGCCCTATGGTACACGATTCGTGTACCAGTGGTAAAATGTTTATTTGTCTTGAATATCGGATATCAGAAGCCCATCTTTTCCCTGTAAGATCACAAGACCAAAGTTGATTTCAATTGACCAATAATTCGTGTTTTTAATTTCGAAGATTTTTGATGATATTGAGTTAGAGACGTAGCTACTTTAATCTGTGCACATGCAAGTTATCTAATCAGCAAATGCGCAAGCTCGATTTGCATGGAAACGTATTTGGGTCACTACTTATTGAGATAATATCGCAACTCATCGAACTAAAATATGTCAACTTCATGAGTTATATTACAAAAAATCTTAAGTTACTAAACCCTTAGTCCTTCTGTGGTGTACTGGCTTTATATGTACTTCCTTGATTCTGATCGTTCTGCGCTTCGCTTGGAAACTATAAATATTATTATTATTGGTTGGGCCTGTCCAACCTAGTGGGTTTTTCCGAGTCCTCCGGTTTCCTCCCACTGCTAAAGACCCCTAAAATTAAACCATATGTTAGTCCCGAAATGACCTAGTTTGTGTCGAGTGGACGTTAAACCCCATCATTGGCTGCACTTTCATGAATAAGCAATCTCGGGCAATGAAATTAAGCACGTGGTACATAACTGAAAACGGCGACATTATTAAGTCTATATATTGCATTAAAATATGACTTGTTGATTTAGAGTCAAATCGACTATTGGCATGATGTAAACATATCGACATAGTTTTTGTCGTTTAGAGGTGAATTTAATGTGTCGATTTTTTGTAATATAACTCATGAAGTTGACATATTTTAGTTCGATGTGTTGCGATATTATCTCAATAAGTAGTGACCCAAATACGCTTCCATACGATTTGACTTCCGAGGCGTCAAGTCGCCACACGACAAGTCGAAATAATTGTATTTTGTCGACTTGTCGGGTTGTGAATAAGTCGAAGGCGACAAGTCGACGGTAAGGTTTTCGTCGTTTACTCGCGTCACTCGAGTCGACTCCATTGCCGAGTTTACCCGGGTGAAACATCCCGAACGGTCCGAGTAGTCCGAGTAGTCACATGACATCAAAACAGTTACGACGTCAGTATGTGATCGAGAGACAGGCTTTTTTGCGTATAGGACGCCATTTTGTCACGTGACAAACCCTTTTACTCTCCGCTCAACGGGGAGTGAACGGGTTAGTCACGTGATGCGATTGAGTCAGTCATGTGACCAACTCGATTCAAAACGCGAACGTTCTGGTGTCGACTCGAGTGACTCGGGTGAACAACGAAAACCTTACCGACAAGTCGACAGAATTGACCCGACAAGTCGACGAAATGAAGGCGACGATCGTCGGGTTATTTTGTCGTGTCGGCGGGTTGATTTTGTGGACTTGTCGCCTTCTTCACAAGGCACCATAAAAACAACCTTCTTTTACTGCTGATCAGTTTGATGCTAGGGCTTAACGTCTGCTTTCACCGAAGGTAATATCGCAGACAACTCTGGTGGAAGTTTCTTACCTGCTGTCACACTGCAGTCGAACTGATCCGCAGTCAATTTTCGCCTGTCTGATTTGGATGCAATTGGGATAAGTAGGTGTCAAATGTTAACTTTTTGTTCGATGTCGATAAAATTTTGAAACTATTTGTGAAAGTATTTATAATATAAATCAATTCCTTTAAATTAAATTTGATATGTATCCCAGATCAGTGCGCTATGGCCTGCAATTGATCAGTAGGCCTATATCGGAACCTCGATTTTTTCGTCCAATCTGAATACCCCCGTTCTGACAAGGGAAAACCATGGTGAAACATCTTAAATAACCCACTCGAACCAGAGACGTGTTCACTGACCCCACCCCCTGGCACCCGTTACTCGAACCAGCGACGTGTTCACTGACTCCACCCCCTGGCACCCGTTACTCGAACCAGCGACGAGTTTTTTTGTGAACCAGATATACTTACTGATTCACCGTGTTACTCCAACCTATTGGTGAATCAGCGATACTCACTGATCCACCGTGCCCCCCTCCCCCCTCCCCCCGTTAAACGTTGGTAACAACGTTCTGTTTTGCTTTGTCCAGAATAATATGGAGTAACGACGGGGTCTTAATTATTTCAATTATTGCATGATAAATTTTGCATTATACAGTTTCTGAAATCTAAGTTGAGTTTTTCTATGAGTAATTGTGATCTTTATTAACACCACGTGGGACAGAAAGGGGATGTAATCCAGTTTAACTTATTAGAAAGTGTGTGTATAATATGGGGTATTTGAATTCTTGCGTGGTAAAGTTAGGATCATAGAATTTCTGAATTCTAAGTTGAGTTTTCATACTCTAGGTTTATATTGCGACTAACGACGGTTGTAATCCAGTTTAAATTCCTAAACAGGGCGTACATACACTCGAATAATACCAGTTACCCTGGCAACGAGGTGTTGGGGGTTGTTAATTTTATTTTGAATGGGAAATGCATGTTGCATTGTCGTGCTAGGCCTCGTGTAAACGGGACGTGAAGTTTAAGTCAATACGTCTATCAACAAAATATGCACCGACACGCATGTAATTAAGGCGGCTAATATCTTTGTAAATCTATATTCACGCGACAAAAACAAATATATGCACGAAAATGAAAGCTGGGGGCGCTCGGTGTGAGGTTCATATAATTATAATTGAGTTATTAAAAGCACCTGCAGCCACTGATTTTATAAATACCATTAAAAGTCAAATAACTCACCTAAAATGTCATCGAGACACCATTGTTGTTAATTGTAGGTCCTTGGCCATGACTCTTATAAAAACATAATAAAACACGTTAATTTATTACGGGGATCACGTGGCTAAGTGGGTAAGACGCTGGCTCGCTAGCCTGGAGGTCGGGTGTTCGATCCCTGCATTGGCCGAGAAAGTTCATCCAGATTTTCCGGGCGTGGTTCTCACTTGTCAGTGATGCAGGACGGGGGGGCCTGACAAGAACATCTGTCTAGTCGTTCGGATGAGACGAAAAACCGAGGTCCCGTGTACACATTGGCGTGCACGTAAAAGATCCCTTGACAGTTGGAATTCGATATAAGAGTAGGCCGTAGTGCCGCTGTACGGGCAAAATTTCCCTCATAGCACACTGTATGGCGTATGCCCGTCTTCATTAGCCCAGTTTGGAGCAGAACAGTAGGACGTTAAACCCCATTTCATTTCATTTTGTTAATTTATTACGTATATTTAATGCAGAGTAAATGTACACGCAGTAGCGTAACTGAACGGGTTACCATTATTGACCACAGACGCAACGTAATTACCCAGAACATACCATTATTGACCACAGACGCAACGTTATTACCCATAACATAACGTTATTAAGCATAGATGCGACGTAATTATCAAGAACATAACGTTATTGACCATATAAGACGCAACGTTATCACCCATAACATAACTTTATTGACCAAAGACGCGACGTTATATTTACCATAAATTATGCAACATAATTAACTATAATGTTATTGACTATAAACACAACGTAATTAACCAGGGACGATTGTTCAAAGCTCCGTTAACTTTTAACGACTCGTTAACATGGAGTTAATGGATCGATATCTTAAACGGAAAGAAAGTCTGTTGCTAGAAACCCCGTTAACTTGCCTTTATATTAAGCAGAGGTGTTGGGCTCCGTTATCTGTTTGAAAATGGCATTAGTCGGCTGTCAATCGAAGTATATACCCTAAGTAGCGAAAAATCATAGATTACCAGTGTAATTTTCTATAGAATTCTAGAGGGTTGGGGTCTATGCCATTTTCTATAGAATGAAATTCTATAGAATTCTACAGAATTTTGGGGGCCCTCTAGGAAATAATGGCCCCAAATATTCTATAGTTTCTGTAGTGCTCATCAGATTAATGCTAAAAATAATATAGTATTCTATAGATTATTCTATTTTTTTGTTGTAAATTCTACAGTTATCTTTTTTTCTTTCTTTAATTAAGTATTGTGAACAAATTGCACAGTTGTCCCACTTTCTTCAGTTTCTTGTTAATACTAACTTCTATAAAGTTGTTATACACGTACATTGTATTAAAAATTCAGGTAACGACCAAACACCCCTCTTTTGGATTAACTTTAATCAGTCCGTTAGCTGATAGATAATGAAATTGACTTTCCAGCAACAGAAATTTAACAAGTTAGCAAGATAGCGATACGTTAGAGTTTAGCGGATCTTTAAAATAACTGGGTTTTCAGCAACCAGCCCCAGAACATAAATTATTGACAATTAACACGACGTAATTAAAGGTAAAATGTCATTATCCAAACCCGCCATGACGTAATTAACCAGAACATGCATAATAACCATACAGCTGTAATGTGGTGTCCAAATAATAGAGACACATTCTTTCTATATTATTCAGTAATATGCTGAAATATGATTTAGGATAATAAAAGCCTAGCAATGTAGGAGAATCCAATTCACGGAATCACGTAACAGGTGATGACATAACGGGAAATATTTGAATAAAATATAATTTAAATAAAGAAGAGTAACCACAATACAGGTAGAAACTTGTATATACAGTACTTGATATACCACAGTATACAGGCGGGATGTCTATAGACCACGCGCTATAAGTCGTATATCTTGTGATATTTATAGAGCAGTCGAGGTGTGTGACCCCCAGTATACCACATTCAGTTATACTACAGTTAGTCGAGGAGCTCATGTGTAGTAAGAACTTCTGTTATATATAAACCTCGAATACATCACCTATATTTTAGCTTTTCAAAACTTTAACACAAACACGTACGGATTAACTAGGACGGATTAACATAAGGGATTAATATTTGGAAGGTATGTATTAGTTTTAGTTTAAATTGAATTGAGTTTTGATTTTGTCACACATAGTTTGGTCTTCTGTATTGTCGCCCACATATATGTACATTGTCGTGTACGTAACATGTTATATTGTATACCGATACAAGGAAATAATGTCATATTGTACAAGTCACATACAAGTTTAAATTCAGGATGATGGAAACTAATTTGGTCATTTACAGACTAACATGCGTTTTTTGTTTGTGGCCACGTGTGTCTGTGGTCACGTGTGTCTGTGAGGGGTGTAAACTGTACGTATGTAGGACGGAAAGCAAGGAAGACCGTCTAGTCGTTCGAATGGGACGAGATTCTCATTGTACAGGGCTGTATGATGATCGAGGTTAAATTAGCTAAAGATAATTATATAATATATCGGTATATTTATTTTATAAAGTGAGTTGAAAAACTCTATAATTGCTAACACGATGTATCTTAATTACTCTTCGAGAACATCTGATATCATTTCTTGGAACTAATGTTCATATTTGCGTTTAGTGGTGTGTACCATGCACAAGACAGGGTATAATATTTTATTAATGTATTTACAATGTCGACCAGTACATTGAGTTGATTATTCATGTATAACACTGTAGTGCACGTTAAAGATTCACACATATGTGGAATCCAGTTGTTGCAGTGTAATATTCACACTGCTCGATGGAACATATACTTATATATATTACTCTAACTATTACCTCAATATATTGTGTTTGGGCGTTAAATCGCATTCTTTCAACAATGACACTCGCCTTTATAGCGAATTTAATAGACTTGGTTTTCACTATTCATTGAAGTGTACTTGTTAGCCTTTTGTTAAGCTCGTGTTAAAACATCATATTAGACCATATACTACACACCTATATGTAAATTGTTGGCCAGACAGGACAAACCATATCCTTAATAATACACATATTATATTTACTCTAGTGCTGCCTTGCCATGGGAACACCAGATACTTTCTTACGTTTCCCTGGTAATATTCCTTCACAGCGGAAAGGGCGCAGGACCTGGCAATAGACAACCTATAGTCGTTCGGATGAGACGAAAACCCAAGATCCCGTGTACACGTTGACTTGCACGTAAAAGAGTACGTAGGCCATAGGGCAGCTGTCATAGCACAATGCTTGGCGTATGCCTGTCTTCATTAGCCATTTAGGACTAAGTGTGTTATAAAGATGTGTATATGACATGCAGTGTGTTATTATTGAGGGAATAGTTCTGTCTACTCTTCAACATATTCAAAAGGTTCTTTCACGTGCAAACAAACATGTACACGGAACAACCAAATGACTAAACCCCTCCCTTATCAGACTCTCGGTATTCAACTACTGACAGAGAGAAGGCCACCGAGGAACGTTCTGGGTCAACTCGTAGTTAGTGAGTTATTCAATGCGTCACCGTGGCTCTGTTAGAGCGCTGAACCGATATATATATATATATATATATCGCATGTCTCACCAATTTTATTCTATTGAAATAAAATATCATACATAATGACGGACGCTTGTATTATATCCCATTTTAATTACGCGAGCTCATCAAGTGACATGTTTAATGGTTGGAACAAGGATTGCTTATTGTGATTATACAGGAGTTGATCCAGGTGTTGGTCAATCCTCATGGCCCTCTAATCTGTTCCCGTCTTCATTAGTCCGCTTGGTAAAGACAATCATTGCAGTTCGATCACGTCTTCTCGTGATCTTATGGCTAGAGTGTCACCTTCTTCATTAGTCCATTTAATTTTACGACTGTCATCTTATTGGTTTGAAATATTACTTGAGATAAAGGAGGGGTGTGTGTTTGAAGATGGAGATAAATGAATTATCATGTCACCTGTCAACATTTATTATAACTCACGTAGATTTATGTCATGGATGTTTTTTGTTTCTTTTTAAAAAATTGCATTTACAATACCAGGATGTTGTTTTTGATGACATGCTTTGGTAAATATGATAAAAGTTTTATGGGAAAAAACATCTCACTTATTTGACTTTATAGACCCGTTATTTAGACAAGAAACGAATGGAATTTACACCACGTGAAACTAATACTTCCGTCTTTTTTAATTTTAAGCGTGCAATATTCCTGTAATGTCACAGGTCCAGTCATCCAATTCCCAGTGACAAGACAGCGGTCGTTACACGGCTTACCATTTTCTGGTTTTGTCTACTCAAACTACTAGACACATTTCCCTTAATAAAGTAATACCTTGATGGGTGAAAGGCAGTGGTTATAGGAAAAGATAGTTGCTATGGTGATGAGAAGTTGCTATGCTGAAGGATAGTTGGATGGGAAGTTGTTATGGTAAGGGTATTTGTTATGATGAAGGGAAGTTGCTATGGTGGAAGGAGAGTTAAGATATGATGGCGGGAAGTTGCTATGGTAACGGACAGTAGTTATGGAGAAGGGAAGTTGCTATGGTGAAGGAACGTTTTATCGGGAAGGATAGTTGCTATGGTGAAGGATAGTTGTTGTGGCGAAAGAGAGTTGCAATGGTGAAGGGTAGTTGTTATGATGACGGAAAGTTGCAATAACGAAGGATAGTCGCTTTGCTGATGGGGAGATGCTATGGTGAAAGATAGTTGCTATGATGAAATTACTATAGTTGCTATGGGGAAGTTGCTATGAGTTAGGCTAGATGTTATGGTGAATTGAAGTTCCTATGATGAAGGATATTTGCTATGATGACGGCAAGTTGTTATGATAACCGATAGTTGTTATGGTCATGGGAATTTGCTATGGTTTCTATGGTACAGGAAAGTTACCAAGGGCAAGGCAAATGAAATGAAATGAAATGAAATGGGGTTTAACGTCCTACTGTGCTGCTCCCAAACTGGGCTAATGAAGACGGGAAGATGCTATGGCGAAGCGACGTTTCTATAGTGGCAGGACATTTCAATGGCGAAAGGAAGTTGTAATATTAAAAAGACGTTTCTATGTTGAAGACTGATTGCTATAGTCAAAGATAGTTGCAGATAGAAAGTTGTGCTATAAACGGCAAGCACGATACATGTATTGGTTCACGTGTACAAACACCCCTGGCCTTCCAGAGAGTGTGTTGGTAAATCTGTATCTAGTAGTATTATAGTCATTCATTCATCAATGATATAGACATGTCCTAATATAGACATGTCCTAATATAGACATGTCTACTACTGTTATATTATACTCACTCATATCACACTGCCCGCTAAAACATGTTAATTTCTTAACTCCCGTTTAAATTTATTGGTTTGATTCCCAATATGTTTTGAGTAACAATTCGATTAAAGGACAGAAAAAGTTGACAGAGGAATATGAAAGAACGTACTTAGGCATCGATATTTACGACAAATACAAGCTGGAAATGGACCTCCCCCTAATTAAGTCACGTGCAGTCTGATTAAAGAGTGACTGTTGAGGACAGGAGATTTTATAGCCTGTAATAAAGATGATTTAAAACTATTTCCTGTAATAAAGCAGGTGCGGATTAAAGAAGGTAACTGATAAACCTGGTCTTGTTATTGTCACCTTCATCAAGTTAAATAAACCTTAGACTGACTGACTCACCTATTTATGGAAAATCTAAGCACTAGCCTAGTTATGATATTTTAAAGTATTTTTCGAGAGCATTCGTTAAACATACGTTAAATATGTCTATGTTTCATTTGTGACGTGAGTAAAGTATAGACGGGGGTGGGGGTGTAAAATGTTATCTTATCTTATCTACGGTCTGTCATTGAGTCAACTGGCGTGGTTTCGATTCCCAGGTTGTACGTGACAAGGCGTAGGGTCGCCTGTTCAACCTCGTGGATTTTCTCCGGGTTCTCCGTTTTCCTCCCACTGCTAAAGACCCGTGGACATTGAACTCCATTTCTCTCTCTCTCTCTCTCTCTCTCCCTCTCTATCCCTATAAACAGGTGTTCCTGGGTTTGATTACGGCCCAGTCTGATTTCTTGTACATCGAAACAGGTCATAACGCCACTGCCTGGGCAAAATGTTCCCATAGCACACTACATGGCATATGGCCCCATTCATTGGTGCAGAAAAATAGGATGTTATTTCATTTCAGTTGTGACTTATCAGATGAGTTAAAACCCGTCAGATGAAAATTATTTTGAATTCTAGGTCAGTGAGTAAGACCTTGTCTCGTTAATCAGGAGGTTGAGGCGTGGTTCCCCCTTGTCATTGGTACAGGACAGCGGGTCTGGTTCCCCCTTGTCATTGGTACAGGACAGCGGGCCTGGTAAGGGACGACGTGTAGTCGTTCGGATGGGCCGAAAAATTAATGTCCCGTGTACACATTGATGTGCACGTAAAAGAACCCCTGGTAGTTGGAATTCGAAATAAGAGTAGGTCATAGTGCCGCTGTCCGGGTAAAATCAATAGCCCAGTCGAAGCAAAACAGTAGGACGTTAAACCCTATTTCATTTTATTTCTCTTTAATTCAATTTGACTTTAAAGAGGGGTGGATGTATCTGTAGACAGATGATTCATGAAGTGAGTCTATTAAACACGACCCACCCTACCGGTATCGTCCTATGCTTTGTTTATGTTAAACGTCAAACTGCGTCATTTGATCTGATAGAACGCGACCCAGTTTACTCGTTTCATTCACATATTTCAAACAGATTAACGTAAAGGGCTCGCCTCTTCATGTACAGCCTGCTGTTCGCTTGTTTTATGGAATAACTTAGAAAGGTCAGTGTAACAGTTATTAAAAATGCATATTTCCGTTTTATGAAAATGCGCCTTAGATCACAATGTCTGTCGTTGAGTCAAGTTAGTTAATGTCTGTTATTGAGTCAAGTTAGTTAATGTCTGTTATTGAGTCAAGTTAGTTAATGTCTGTTATTGAGTCAAGTTAGTTAATGTCTGTTATTGAGTCAAGTAGCGTGGTTTCGGTCCTACACTTGTACGTGACAAGGAGTAGCGTTGCTTATCCAGCCTCGTGGATTTTCTCCGGGTCCTTCGGTTTCCTCCCACAGCTAAATACC